GCGTCCTCTGCATTGACATCAGGGTGCTTCAAAACCCTCAGTGGCTCCACGTTACATGGCAAATAAAGCCCAAACACCGTAGGCTTTATTTGCATGTAAATAAAGGCCCCTACGATCTGGTGCCAACTAACATTTCCATTCTTTCTAATTTTATTCCAACGTAAGCCCCCACCCCCCAAGCAGCCTGGGATCCAGCCACAACAGGCCACGGGTCCTCTCCCAGATACCCTTTTCCCAGTCTCCTCTGGGCCTTTGTCATGCTGGGCCTTCTACTCCCTAACCTACAAGCCCCAGCTGAAATGCCAGCTCCTTCAGGAAGGTGTCCACAACCTGTAAATCAGAAGAGCACTCTCTGGGTTGCTACAGCACTCCGCTTGTTCTCTCTAAAATAGTATTTGGCGCTCTCCAGCATGTCGTAGTTACACCCATGGGTGTCCTATCTCCCTGCCCCATCACACTGCAGACTGCCGGAGGGCAGGAACCTGGTCTTGCACCCTGCCGAGCAGTGGACCCTGGTGTTCTATCACTGTGTACTGAGTGGGAGAAAAGAATGATAGCTGTCATTATTCTTACAATTTATGCTCTTTGTGAGAGCCATGCTCATGTGACATATTCTACCTTGTTTGCCCAGGCTGCTGCTTTATAAATCTTAACCTTTCTTCGCTAGTCTCCACTCTCAGAGCACGTTGCTTATCTCTCTCTGTGGCATTGGCTAAACTTGCCCTTGCTTTTTAGTTAGTGGTACACATCCCTGTCTCTTACACTGTCCCAGAGCTTCACATCCAAGGACATAGATAAAAACCACCCTCTGAGCTTTCCCATACCCCACAGACCTGGTCTCAATCTGTGAACCTGATTCAGCTCTGGAGAGGGGCCTTTGGAAAAGCTCCCCATGTGATCCTGACATGCACCCCAGTTACGAACATTTGGCTGCAACTCCTTGAAAATGGGAATTCCAGAGTCTTCCACAGTCCCTTGAGCAGGACTTTGCACTCAGCAGGCACTCAATACATGCTTGTTGAATAAAGTAGCTACTAATATAGCCCTCACCTGGAGCCTAGAGAGCTTGTAAAGCATTTTCCCCTTCACTTCCTGCTGCGATTGATCAATGATCTATTTGCCCCTGGGCAGCCAGCCTTGAAGGAGTTTGAGCTGACTGGGGAAGAGTGAGGGTCTAGTTTTAAGAATTAGGCCTGTAGCACCTGTTGGAGAGGGCTGGGTAGTGCACCCTTGAAGGGATAAAACTCCCGTGGACTTATAGCCAGTTGGTGGGGCCATCACTCACCACAGAAGAAAGGAACAGCAAAAGGAAAGACAGTTATGGGGTCAGAGCTAAGCCTATGAGCTTCTGGTCAGGCTAATCATTCTGCACTCCTTCAAATTGATATTATTACAATTTTATTCAACTTTTGTTCAGAGGGCGGGCTGAGCCCAGGGATCAGAAGAACTGAGGACTCCACTGACACACCCACTTCGCCAAACCAAAGCAGGTTTTGAGCCCACTCTTCTTAGAAGGCAGGTTTGGGGAGCTTGTATCCCTACAGAGCATGCATGCCCTCACTCCACCGTCTTCTCGCCCCATCCCGTTCCTTTACATCCCAAGATACTTACCTAAGTATTCTTTTCAACACATACAGCTGTATCCCTGGGAGCACTTCATCAGTACAATCACATTTGTCTCTTTGCATTTCTAGTGATGTTTTGGCATCCCTAGTAGACTAGCTCCCGGGGTAATCTTTTTAATCCAGAGTCTTCTCGTAATCTAGCTCCTTGGGAATCCAAGGGAAGAGGCACAGAGAAGGAGAGGGATGAATGGGAAGATGGAGGGGCATCCATCCTACCAGAAAGGGAACCTGGGCAGGACTGCTGAAGGAAGCAACCCACAAGCTGCACCCCAGTGACCACACCCCACATTTGTTGACCACACTCTGCATGGACCACAACCTCCTGCTTTCCCCTCCCCCTACCCACTGAAACCACTGCTCAACCTCAACTGGACCATTGTGGGCCTATGCCTCCTACTCCAGTCAAAAAATGGTGCCCTGGACCCAGTGCTGCAGACCTCCTACCACTCCTGGAGCATAAAAAATCCACAGCAGCTCTGAGGGAAGATCCTCTTCACAGCATTTCCACCTCCACACTCTCGGACAAAATCAGCAAGAGAGAAACCTTGCTGATCTCTAAATAGGAACATGCCTGCAAGCCTGGGGCAGCCCCAGACCTCAGATGACCCAAGCCAGAGTAGAAGTTCCTTGAGGGCACAAACCCCATGTTGCATGTCTAGAACCTCCCTCAGTGCCCAGCAATGTTTGTGGTTGGTTGAGTAAGTGGATAGAAGACCATCTTTTTGACTCTTTTCTACTTCTGTTTCTTCTTCTCACACTTGCTTATGCCTTCCGGTCAACACCAGGCACCGCCCCAATGGGCTTCCCATGAGCTCTTCTCTTGGGCCCACCAGCCCGGACAGTGTCTGGTTTGTTGAACTCGCGGCTTTCATTTATGAAACCTGCCTGTGACGGGACAAATATGAATTATTCTTAAAATCATCTCATAAAAACAGAAAGCATCACTGTATCATATATGCAAATAAAAGATTAGCATGTACTGACTTACCTCAGACTGGTTATGTTCCCTTCATTTCTACCCAAGATCATTATTTAGGATTCTCAAAATTTCTCTGCTTATGAAGGATCTGGGTTAAGATCTTGGGTGAAAGGAGTGATACAGAAGGAGGACTGGAGATAAAGTGTCAAACAAGCCCTGTGTAGGTCAGGATGGTAGGAAATTGGCTCCATTCAGGCCTTAGGTGAAATTGTCCAGGAGGCCAAGTCTGTCTTGAGAGCTCCTAGCTTCAGCTTTCTGTCCCTATCTCTCCCGTGGTCTGGCACCTATGTTTTCTGCCTTCAAGTCCAAGGTTTTTTCTGTCTCGTGACCCATGGTGCCTGAACAAGTACCTTCCAAAGATCAACCCTCCAGCCAGAAGGAATGATACCACTTCCTGCTGGGAATTTCAGGCATCCTGAAAACTTGGTAGGATGTATTTGGCAGGTTTGCAGGGGATTTTGGTAAGGGAAAGAAAGTTATCCTAAATCCTCACCAAGTTATTCCGAGTACAGAGCTCCCCTCTCCACCTTGGGGTCAGCCCAGATTTTAGGTGTAGGGTTGTTGCAATCCCCCCACATCCCACACCCCTATCCCCTCCACAAAAGAGTGTGGCTAGAAGGACCAAAGGATGACAAAGGTGGCCTGCCTGGCTCCTTGACTTTATCATTTCAGAAAATCAGCCTTGGGAACTTCCCTGGTGGCACAGTGGTTAAGACTCCACGCTCCCAGAGCAGGGGGACCGGCTTCGATCCCTGGCCAGGGAAGTGGATCCCACATGCATGCCACAACTAAGAGTTTGCATGCTGCAACTAAGGAGCCCTTGAGCCGCAACTAAGGAGCCCACCTGCCACAACTAGGATCTGGCACAACCAGATAAATAAATTAAAAAAAAACGTACTAAGAGGAAAAAGAAAATCAGCTTTGAGCATCACCCACAGTTAGAGAGAAGACATGGGCAACAGATGGCACGTGGAATTGGATGGTTGCGGGGAGTAGAGACGAGGGTGGGGGTGAGGGAGGGATATGTAGACCTCCAGCAGGTCCCTGGCCACTTTTGTAGAGGGCTTGTTCCGGGCCCTGTGCAAAGGCTATGGGAGGGCCACGTTGAGGGGAGTGAGACCACAAAGCCCCACTCTCAAGTTGACCAGCCTCTGGTCATTCCTGTGTGGGGAAAGATTTCCATAGGATTACTTTTGTCCCAGGGAATATTGGCCCTTTTTCCAGGTGACCTGGATGAACCCTCTTGACTGAGAGAGAACGACCTGGCTTGATTGTCCACACAACTGGGAACGGACACCTTAAATGTGTCATTAAAATTATTCCAAGGCACTTTGCAGTGAACTGTGGGAGTCTGGGGAAGGAAGTACCCACCTGTGTCTGTTCCCTTGGCAGGGGGACTCAGTTTTAGGGGGACTGCATTTCAGGATGAATGATTTCCCTTTGCCATCTCCTTCCCCCTCTTCCCTTTTCCTTTCATTGTTTCCATCCCAACAGGAAGGATGGAAATCACTTCTCCCCAGTTCCCACAAATTGACTATTCCATCCATCTAACTCACTGCCTTCTCTACAACTGACTCAGAAAAGATGGCTAATGAGATGCCATAGCCTAAATCTATTTCCTTTCCTGAATTATTCTACCAGATAACTCCCCTTTTTGTGCATTTGTAATGTTTGGGCCATGGCTCCTGACTGGACACCAACAGCTAAGTCCTGTGAGGTAGAAGGGTGTTTTGGAGCCCAGTCATAGGCTGAAGTACTCCAGGTACTGTTCCTCTCCTCTCTTGTGACCATTCATTACTAATGAGTGCATTTTGTTCTATTGAGTGCAGCCTCAGAGTGCTTCACAACGTATAAATAGAAAATGTAACTTATAAATAGAAATTGGGCAGAGAGTAGGGAGAAGTTAGGAGTGATAGTTCATTCATTAACACATAGTTTTTGAGCAGTGATTTTAAGCAGGTCCCTGTGTTAAGTAGCAAGGGGGATGAAAAGGTAGACCATTAGGCCCAGCAATATATAATGCTTTTTATTTAGCCCGATATATTAAAACATTATTATTTCAACATGGAATCAATATAAAAATGTTAATGAGCTATTTTACATTCTTTTGGAACTCAGGTGTATTTTGCACTTACAGCACATGTACAATTCAACTCAAACTAGTCACATTTCAAGTTCTCAAAAGCCACACGTGGACAGCACTGCTTTCAGGATCCCAGACATACGATTTGTGGACACACGTGCTCCCAGGGATTGCAAGGGTTAATTTAAAGCCGGCTGCCGCCATGGAACCAGTGGGCGTTGTGAGCAAGTTCTGCGGAGCATGCCGGGAGTTGTAGTCCGTACTCTGTCCGTGCGGTCCGATGGGAGTTGTAGACAGAGGCCCTGTGGAGCATGCTGGAAGTTGTAGTCTGAGCCAGTCTGCGGAGGGGTCTGCGTATCATGGCCGCCGACACCGCGCTCTCGTACTCTTCCGCTTGGCAGCAGAAAGTTTCGGTTCTGTCCCAGCGTGGACCCACGAGCGCGTAAGTGCTGCGGATGGCCGTCCGGACTCATGGGGCACCTCTAGTTGCTGTCGTCTCCGGAGCGGAGAACTTCCCTCCAGGCGCGGCTTGTCACCTGTTGCCCTTACCGCCTCCGCCCTTATGCCGGGTGTCCCACAGACTCCGCCGGAGCCCTTGCCCAATGCCCTTGCCCTTGCCCAGCGGGCCTAGGAAGCACCTAGGGCCGGTGAATCTGACCCTGGAACCCAGGCTGCCTCTGGTAATCAGTTAGAAAGACAGACAGCCCCCCTCCCCCCTCCGCCCAAACACCAGTTCCAAAACACCCGACGGCCAAGGATCCCACATGTGTGGTCTCAGAACAAGCCTTGGAGTCTTTAAGCACAGGAGGGACAGGTCCCCGAGTTTCTGCTTGCATTGTCCAAGAAGCCGATAACCTGAAGAGGCGTATTTCCTGGCTCAGCTGGGCCGGGACAGCCCAGACCTTAACTTTGCAAAACTCCAAGACTTAACTTTGCCCGGGTCTCTCCCCTCTCGTAAGGGGACGGTTTGTTCATCCTGGGCCATCCCCAGGCCATGGCCCATTCTCTTTACCCAGTGTCTCTTGTGCTTTGGTGTAGGGTTTCGAGATAGCCCCCAGGTGATTGTTCCTGAAACACCTGTGGATTTTTGGATTGTGGTGTGGCTGCACCGGACTTCGGCTAGGGTCCGTGATATGAAGAACCTAGGCCGGAGGGTGTAAGGGGAGGGCTGAATTTTACTTTTCCTCAGAAAAGCATGTGTGGTTGACACCTTAACCACGTGGCTCCCAGATAGTGCACTTGTGTCATCTGATGCCCCTTGTCACTCTTCACAGTTCCATCCGCTGCCCCCCTCCAGAGCAAAATAGAGCACTCTTTGAAACTACCGGTGTTGGCCGCAGCCTCTCTGTCCCTCTGCCTGTCTTACCACAGCAGTTTCCTTTCCCAACAGAGAAATGGGTCAGGGGCTCTTTGAGGGCAGAGGATCAGGCGTTAATCTGCTCACTGCTCTCCTGCCACTTCCAGCCTTGTGCTCTGTAGCAAGCTTAACTACCCTGCCATCTGCCTAATGCGGGGTGCTGGGTATTGTAGCTGGGGAAGAGCTGTCACGCTGAGGTTCTGCTTTCAGTGGCTCCCACCCCTCTGAAGTGGGCCCATGTTGAGTAGATTCCACTTGACCCTCCCTCCCTTGAGAGCTCCTGTTCAGAAATTATTGAATGCCCTGTACCAGTTTTGAGCCGTTATTATTAATCACCCTGGAAATCAGAGTTAATTGTCTCAGTGATGGGACAGGGCCTTCTTTGATTAAAAGAACGTGAAAAGGCTGTAGGAAAAAGATTTTCTGTTTCTGTTAAAAGTGTTCTTTGCGTAATGCTTCATTTAGTTTTTAATTTGGGAAAACAAACATACAGAATCATTGAAAGAATTGTATAGAGAACATATACCCACCTGTTAGATTCTACAGTTAATATTTTACTCCAGTTATTTTTGTGTTGCTTTAGAGTCGATCCTCTAGCTACTCTTTGGATGGTCTTTGCTCCTTGTGACTGGTTTTGGGACACCAGCATGGGTTCAGGAGCCATGCTTTTAACCTGGTCCTTCTGGGATGGAATGGCCCCCACAGATGTTTGTGACAAGAGGAACCACCCAAAACAGCACAAGATCAGAGCAGTTGGTAACTTTGTCCCATGTTGGTCACTGAGACTGTGGGCTGCTGCCTCTAGAACATACAATAGGCACTCAAGAATGGCAGTCCCCGTCTTCCCTTTAGGGGAGAGGCTTGGCTAATGGGTAACCTGCATTTTCTGGTGATTCCAAGGACAGCTTTGGTGACTCAAAACCAAAGTGTCTTTAAACCTGAGGCAGAGGAAGCGTATTGTCTAGCTGTGGTGTCATGGTGAAAATCACTGATAGGAACTCAAAGTCTGGAGCCACATTCACTAGCCAGCCCAGGCAGCAGAGCAGGTAAGATTCGTTAACCAGAGGCCGCCTGTGAGCAGAGATGATTCGAGTTTGGCCTTGTGAACATCTGTTCACCTAGTGGATGGATGTCATTGTGTTGCTCAAAAGATAAACAATATTTCCTGTTTGTGATCTCAATGCCAGATTTTTTTTTAAGCTTTTGGTTGGTTTAATAGCCTCTGTTTGAACACCTAAATCAATCAGTAGGGTGGGTTTGGAACTGTTTCCATGGGTCTCTGTTTATCATGCTGTTCTTCGATGTGTTACTGTACTGTCCTCATAAGAGCTTCGGCCTCAGAGTGCATGGGCTCCCTGGCTTTTACAGGATGAGGATGACAGAACTGTGCTGATTTGGGCAGGAGGTGTTTCTCCCTCTTCCTCACTTTGGAGCCAGTCAGCCTGGTGGTTTTAGTGGCCGCCGGTGGTCCTTGCTGTTCTCTGTGGCATTTGAAAGAAACCAGGTGTCTGTTTCTAGTTGGGTCAGATCCTCCTCACAGGGATGAGGATGTGCGTGCCGGTGTGTTTCGGAGGACAGACTTAAGGAGAGTCTGTGGTCTGGGTATAGTCCTGTGGCAGTGTGGCTGGTTTCAGAGCCCAAGGGCAGGTCCGGCTAACCATCTCAGGAGCCTGGGGTACTACACCCTTGGCCTGGGGCAGAAAACCGAGTTAGGGGAGCCCTTGGAATCCAGAAGAAAATCCTGAAGGGAAAAAGCATTCCAAGCAAGCCATCAGTCTGCAGAGGGCTAGGCCAAGAGGAGGATCCCTGTAAGAGGTCCAGGGTGGGCTGGCAACTGAACCAGAGGTGGCGGCTTAATGTGGAGCTGGAAGGAACTGTAGCCCCAGGTGCTTTTTCCAGGGCATCTACAGCCTGGGTCAGGAGCAGGGCCTAGAAGCCTCAGCCAAAGTTAACCACCGAGAATGTCTGTTCTTCTCCTTGCACACCTCCTCTGTGGAGGAAGGTAAAGGGTAACCTCTCTCCACTGTATCTGAAAACACACACACACACACACACACACACACACACACACACAGTAGGAAGAGGTCAGTACTTTGAACTAAATGTACCATGGGGCTCACCCAATCATGGCATAATCTTTATCGCATTATTTGTTACATGATAGGGAATGGAAATTTCACAAGATGAATCTGATTCTGCATTCTGAATAGGGTCCAGCTTGGCAGGACTCAGCTGTGATTGAGAGAAGAGAAGACACTTTCCTTGCCCATTGCTTCCTGGATGTTTTCTCTGGGATTTCCAGTGGCAAGACCTCCGCCCTGCACCCCCAAATGTGGATATGTGGCTCCTTCCTGAGCAACTGCCCACCTTCGTAAAAAAGATAGCTTTCTCCAAGCCCAGAAGCAACACCGCACAACCACAAATCCCTCTTGACCCTGCTTTCCTGGGTCAGCAGACTGGAATCGGTGCCAGTTTTGTGTATGTTCCAGGGGGAGTGACCAAGAGACCTGGAATTGTTGGTGGGAGGGAGGGGGCCAAGAGAAGTTTCAAGAAGTGATGGCAAAGTCTCAAGTCTTCATTCCCTTTAAGAAAGAGAAGATTACAAGCAAGGAGTGGTTTGGGCGAGATGACCCAGGCCTGCAGTTGGTCAGCCCTTTAATTATAGGTCTTTAATTATAATTGTGTCGCCTAATGAGCCTTTGTTCACGTGTGCTGAAATCTTGGCCTCTGAGCTGGCCTCTGATAAACTCTTGAGCACTCTCCTGGGCACCATCTAGAAGCTCTGGTGAGGGCAGTCTGCCTGACCACTGACCGTTTCAGCACTGAGCCCCAGGACCTCCAGGCCTTCACAGCTGCAGGTACCAGCCAAGTGCCCCCTTTCCATAGGTGGTAACTAGATAGATGCTGTTGGGTGTGCTGAACCAGGCCGAGGCAATGGACTCTTCGGCAAGGCTTCCTGCTTTTGACTGGTCTGAACTGTCCTTGTTAACATTCTTTCCCAGTCAGGGTGGAGTTGACAACGTGTATGCCCCAGCTTGTTTGGGAGTCGGGGAGGAGCCGACTGTATGGTGCCCTCTCTGGGTCATGTCTTAGCTGTTGTGTTGGGAGCAAGTATGGCAAATTTGGCAGGCAGGGCAGGGTTGTCTTCTATGCCCCAGACCTCCTCCTCCCCTTCTGATCCTTCTTTCCTTATGTGGCTACTCAGATGCTGTTGTCAACTGAAAAAAAAAATACACAACATGAGAGCCGTGGGTTAAGTTTTGTTAAGGGGGGGAAGGTCAGTATATATGGTTTTAGTGAAGGGGGTGCATGCAGTCAGTCACACATTGTGGCAAGGCTTGCTGCTAGTCACGAGGAGCAGATGTCACTGTTAATGATTTGAGTGCTTTTCTGTATATGAGAAGATGGAAGAATTTAGGCTCGTAAAATCTTCTCCTGAAAATGTCGAACTATCGGAAGGCTTGTTCTGCCAGTTTTTCCCAGAGCACAGAGTGCCTCATTCCTGATCTCCACCCTGAACTCCTTTCAGGATGTCTTGAAGGTCAATGGCCGCAGTGGCTTAATCCTTGTAGAGGCAGATGGCAAGTGGCAATTTCAGCTGGCACTGTGTTTCTCCTGCCAGAGCCAGTTTGGGGGCAACATCATGAGTATTAGTCATTTGTACCATAGTGTAAAGAAGTTTCCATGAGTCAGCGTCTTCGTATCTTAATTTGGGACTGAACTGCCGTCTCTGTTGTTTAAGGCACATCTAGGCAGGTATGGGAGGAATTTGGAGGTCAGGGAAGATCCTTTACCTCTAAAATAATACATAGGCTGTGACGAGGAACCCAGGTAACAGTACCAAGTAATAAATAAGAATTTTTAAAAACGCGTTTAGTCCCTTTTCCTCTTTATCAGAAGATTGGATGTTTTCAGACATTCTGGATAAGCTTAAACATAATTTTGAGTTGTTGGCAAGAGAATCCAGTGTTCCCCCAAATTTTATAAAATGAATTTCTCTGGTATTTGAAAGAGCTTGCTAGAGACAGTGATGGAGGTGTTCACAATGTCATGCAACAAGGACCCTGGGTTGATGGAGGTGATTTGCACTTTGGGGGCCTTGCAAGGCGCTGGAGTCCTGGAGCCCATGGCGGTGTGGAGTGTCTCCTGAGTTAGGAGAGCAGGTTGCCAATGGGTTGTAGAGGTCAGGATCGCACTGGTCCATGCCAGAAGTCTGTGATTCCCGTAATATAATAGGAAATATATATTTGATCTCTTACCCTGGTTCCTGGCACAGAGCTTCCCAAACTCTTGGAATTTCCTGAGTAATAGGAGTGTCTTTTGTTATTCATAGCAAAACCCTTTCAACCATAAGCATAACCATATGCTACTAAGATGACTCTTCATGGGCCCCTGGATAGATAGCTTCTGCCTGAGGGCTGGTTGCCAGAGGACTTTCAGCCCCACCCTTAGACCCCTCTGGGGAGTGGAGAGGGGCTGAAGGTGGCATAAATGGCCAGTGGCCAGTGATTTAATCAGTCATGCCTATGTAATGAAACCTCCGTAAAAACCTCAGATGACAGGATTCTGAGAAATACTGTGCTGATGACACATTGAAGTACTGGAGGGCACAGAGCTCTGAGCGCATGGAAGCTCCCACCCCACCCCCCTTATCTTGCATCTCTTGCATTTCACTGTTGCTGAATTGTGTCCTTTAAAATAAACCAGTTATAGTAAAATGTTTCCCCAAGTTTTGTGAGCCGTTCTAGCAAATTATAGAACCTGAGATGGGGATTTTGGGAACCCCAGTTTATAGCTGGTTGGTCAGAGGTACAGGTAGTGACAGGTACTGGGACCTGTGACTGGTGTCTGAAGCCGGGGCAGTCTTGTGGACTGAGCCTTTAACCTATGGGGTCTGCACTGGCTTCAGGTAGTTAGAGTTATAATTGAATTGAGAGACTTCCCTGGTGGTCCAATGGTTAGGGCTCCACGCTTTCACTGCCGAGGGCGCGGGTTCAATCCCTGGTCGGGGAACTAAGATCCCGCAAGCCCTGTGGCATGGCCCAAAAGAAAAAGAATTGAATTGAATTGTAGGACACCCATTAGTGTCAACTGGATATCGGTGTGGGGGAAAAAGCCGCACATTTGGTGTCAGAAGTGTTGTGAGTAAAAAATATCTCATCCCTAAACCAAAGGGCAGGCTTATCTAGAGACACAAGGAAGTTGACCAAGGAGTGGAGAGAGACTGTGCCCCATTCTGTGTCTTTTGAAGTTTAATAATAACCTCAGGCCCAGGAAAAGGGAGGCCAGAATGCGAAGAGTCATTCTTTCAAGTCCATGAAAATAGCATTCCTGTGGTGACCATTTGCTTCCTGAAAACCTGTGAGGTGGTGACCCACAGCTGTGGTGGGTCACTGTGTAGTCACTGTGCCCTATAGGCCCAGCAGCGGTTTCTCAGGGCTCATCTTGGTGGTGAGGCAGAGGGTCTTTGGAAAATCAACTTGTGTAATCAGTGGTTGGGCACAGCTCACCCCGTGGCCTGGGAACTTGGCCTCAGCGGAGGGAGGCACTCCGAGGCTCAGGCGGAGAAGGCCTCCTGGGCTTGGGCTGACACTTGCGGCTTCACCAAAGTGCCAAGAAGTCTTGAAGGAGCATGTTTCTACCTGTTCAGGCTCGTCATTCCAAGATGCCAGTTTGGTTTACAGACACTATTGCCCTTGTGCCAGGCTCCAAAGAGGGCTGGTTTCTAGGAAATCCAGCTGGTCTTATAGTTCATGCGTTGTCCCAGCCAGAGCCTGGATGACTAAGAATCTGTTGTCGTTAGTGCTTCCTTTCCAGGCTCCGCCCTCTCTGTCATTTGCGAGTCTCAGCCTAGTTTTAAGTAAGTATACACAGAGACCCAGTGGACTCATGGGGTATAGGTTATCTTCTTACAAGATTATTTCTTCCCGAAGGTACAAAGCTCTCTGGTGACCATAGTCAAATAAGGGGAGTGCAGGTAGACAAACAGCCTCTACACCTGCTGTGCCCTCCACCCTGGTGCCCTTTCCTCCTCAGGTCTCTTCAATGACGTCCTGTTCATCACCCAACTAAGTTGCCATTACTGAGAGTGTCCACCATCCTCTCCCTTCCCCCAGCAGAAGGAAAGTTCCCTTCCTCAGGTCCCATTGCATCTTGCTAAATTCATACCAATGCTGCTCTTTTGTTTGCTGAGATAAGATGTACAGTATGTGAGTTTTGACAAATATATATTTGTCAAATATATACAGTCATGTAACCAACACCATAATCACGACACAGAGTAGAGTTGCCCAGCAAAATTTCTGCATACTCTCTTGTAGTCAAACCCTCCCTTCCCCCTCAGCTCCTGGCACCCATGGATCTGATTCCCCCCCCAGTGTTTTGCCTTTGTAAGAACAGGATGCAGATGGAATCATAAAGTAGGTAGCTTTTCAGTCTGGCTTCTTTCACTCGGCAAACATCATTTGTTGTGTGTATCCCTGGTTCATTCCCTCTCCTTGCTGAGTACCCATAACTTTTTATTCATGTCTCTGCATGGACCTCTTCTGCCATATCCGCATATCTGGATGCTTTTCTGTCTGTCTTCTTGGTGCACAGCCGAGCTCCTCCAGGGCTGGATGGTGCCTTGTTGCCCCAGTATCCCCAGGCTGCACTTGACCGTGTGGTGCCGGGACAGCTGTGCATTGACAGTGATGATCCTTGGTCCTCTCCTCCTCGCTGGGGGAGGAGCCAAGTGTCTGCCCAGGCAGCAGAGCCTCTGCAGAAGTCTGGCCCATCCTGGGCTCCTGCTCTCTAGGGCCCTGGCTGGTCCCTGCTCAGGCTCTGTGTTCAGCAGCTGACCTAGAGAGCCGCCCAGGGATGGGCAGGCTGGCTTCTGGTAAATCACACCCACCCTCGGTTTGGTGTCTGTGATGGCAGGTGCCAGCACTTGCTAGGGACTTGGGCGGAGTCTTTGTGGATGCCCTGGCTCTCTGGCGCTCCATGTCACGAATTACTGGGAGTGTGGTACAGGTATGTACCTGTCTAGTTCCTCCTAGGCTGGAGAAGCCCTATTTGGGCCTTGTTTTCACTGACTCACAGCTGCACTGGCTTGTGAGTTAAAAACAGGCCTTGGCATATCTGCGCCATGACAGGCCCTCCCCAGGCCTCAGGCTGACCTGGAATGCTTGTGTAAATATTTGGAGGAACTTGAGGTTGGCGACCATTTCTCCCCCTGGATCTTCTTGCCTTGTCTCCTAGAGCAGTAGGGCGAAGAGCGTGGTGGGAGAGTGAGGACCAGTTCATGTTTGAAACACTCAAGGTGGTGGCACATTTGAGAGGCGCTGGAGTTCCGGGCAGTTCCTAGAAGCCAGTGGAAGTGGTTGACATTTGCTGTAGTGACAGTGGCTCCGTTGTAGAGCCAAAGGGGTTGAATTCAGACTGACCAGAGTTCACATCACGATTCCCCTCCCTACTGGCCCGGGGCCTTAGACAAGTTACACAGCTTCTCTGTATGCCAGTTTCTCCCTTGTACGTTATCTATCTCCCAGGGTGCTGCTGAGAATTAAAATGAGTGAGTGTGTAAAGCACCTAACAGGCCCAGTGCGCAGCAGGCCCTCGTCTAGGGGTGGCTACTAAGGCCACCTCTAGTCTTGCCAACTGCTTTTGCCAGCAAATGTTACGCCTTTGCAGCAGACATCTAAGGAAAGGGTTAGAGGTTCTGAAGGGAGAATATGGTGGTGTCCAAGTGCGTGTCCAGACCTCCTTCCGTTGCTGCTCGTATCTCCTCCTCTTTGTTGGTCTCCAGCCACCTCTGTGTCCTTAAATCACTTCAGCAGCTGCCCAAGTAGCGATGGTAACTCGGGACTCACCAGCCGTGAGAGAACTGTAACCGAGCTTAAAATAGAGACTGCCCTTGACTGGTCCTGAGGGCTGCGCAGGCCCCTGACGGCCCCTGGTGTCTGCCCTCCCAAGCCGAGCGGGACTCTGGTGGCTGGAGGCTGCAGACCTCCCTGAGAGGCAAGCCAGGCTCTCCTTGGTCCGGAAGCCCTTAGGGTACGTGTCCTCAGCCTCAGGCCTCCACCGCTGCCTGGGGAGGGGGGAGGGCCCGGCCTGGAGGAGATGGCCGATTTGGTGTGGTGGCACCTTAGGCTTAGCAGGTCAGTGAGCGGGGTTGGACTAGTTCTGGCCTTGGTGTAGCGGGGTGGGGGGAGCCACTGGGAAGCGTTTTTAAAGGTGGAAAGTGCGGCAGGCCTGCCTAAGGGCAGACTAGGAGGGGAGCTCAGAAAGAATAGGTCATGCTATTTAGTTGATCTTGCTTCTTTTGAAGCTCCCAACCAGGTCCCTGTGTCTGAACATAAGTGTATCAGAGAATGCCCACAGAGCAAGGCCCACACAGAAAGGTCAAGCCCTTCCCATTGAGGGAAGATGCCCAGATGGGGCGACTTTGTGCCCAGAGCAGTGTGCCTCTACTACTGTCTTTAAACTGTGTCTGTGACCGCTCCTGTGCAGGTGCCACCTCGGCGTCTGACCACTGCTGAGCGGCCCCAGGCAGGAGGCCCACAGCCAGGAAAGGCGGCCCCTGACGGTCCCGGTTACCATGGCGTCCACCAGCGTGGAGAGCCAGCTGCAGAGAATCATCCGCGATTTGCAAGGTACGGCTTGGCTGCAGGGCACACCGAGCTTGGTGTTGAGAGAGCTGTGACTGTGCTTTTGCTGTTGCCAGCTGAAATTAGCCCTGTGATCTGTGTTTACACCGAGAGTAATCGGAGCCCTCGGGACACATCATATTGAAATATTTGGGGCTCAGATGTCCGCCCTGTTAAGGCTGGGAGACCTTGCCTGGCCCTCCTCTCAGGCACTGTAAAGGCACTTTGTAAACAAAATCAAATACCTCTTTCTGGGTCTGGGTCTGATTTCTGTGTGTGTGTGTTTGTGTTTTCAAACCACCCGTTAAGTCTTTGAATTGTGAGTCTCTGGGAGACGGCGGAATTGGCTCATTTGCAGAGATATTCTGCCTTCTTCTAAGCAGGAAGATGAGACACCCATCTTGCTTGTTTTGCTCTTCCACCTGGTTCCGGGTGGGACTCACTCCAGTTCTGGGCCTGCTGCCCCCCAGACTTCCCTGAGCTCAACGTTGCCCAATGAGAGAGACTTGTGGGCCTTGGCTCACTGGACAAAGGCAAGGCAGGCGGGGGTGCGTGTGCAGAGAGCAGGCTCGGGAGGAGCCCGCTGTGTTCTGTACTGGCTGTGGAGTCCAGGGCCCAGGTTCACCCTTTCAGGTGACGTCCCAAGGGGAGAATTTTGGCAAGTTTTCCGTCCCGCATGAATCACCAGGGCAGGTCTTGTAAGCCTCTCTGGAGCACCAGCACATTTGCTACAACACAGTCTGAAGCTGACTCCTTCCTCCGTGTCATGGGGACCCCAGTGACACTCTCCTGACAGACTCAAGGTGCAGGTTCCTAACTGCTCAGACACAGTGATAACCGACTGCAGTCTCTCATACCCAGGTTAGTTGAGGCCACAACAGTCTTCATTGTGAAGGCAAATATCGATGAGATAAAAATCACTTTCTCAGGTGTATCTCCTGTTTATGTAGTATTTTGGGCCTTCATGGCATTTCATGTGTGCCAGGCACGAGTCTCACAGATAATAATAGCTCATTGAGTCCTCACGTTTGGTCCTGTGAGGCAGGGACCATTATTATTCCCATTTTGCAGATGTGGAAACAGGCACAGAGAGGTTAAGTGACTTGCCTACGGTCACACATCCAGTCAGGCAGAGCCTGGGTTTGCACACACACCTGGTGCCAGGGTCTGTGCTCTTAACCACACCAGTCTACATCCAACTAAAATGTGGGAGATGGCTTTTTTCTTTTTAAATCTATACACACACACACACACATGCACACACATACACACAGAAAGTAAAATGACAGTCCCTGCAGATCTGAGTTTGCCCCTGGTCTTCAGAGGTTTCTCCACAAAGTAAGCCATCTTCTCTCTGTTTTAGTCTCTGGTTCTCAAGGATGAGTCTGGGACCCAGAGGTCCTTATTGGAGGGAAGAGAGGAGCCCATGGCAGAGCTCCTGATCCAGGGAGGAGGACAGGCATCAGAATTTGTTCAGTTGCCCTTTCCCACCCCATGTGCTATCCTCGTCTGTCATGCCCCACATCCCAAGGCCATCTCAACGTCCTATAACCAGCCCTCAGAGCACTTTGGTGGGAATTTTTAAAAGGCACCACACTTTCTCAAGACCCTTTCTTTTCATCTGTTGGTAATTATCAGAGATTAGAGCTGGAAATTTCATATTCCACGTCCAAGGCTCCTTCTTTCAAAATTTCAGGAGTTCCCAGGTCAGGTTATGAGCTTTACCCCAGCCTGAGGGTGGGGGAGGAAGGCTGTGTGTCTTTCCTGGTCCCTGGCTGCCGGCTGTCAGTGCCGCCACAGCAGACACTTCTAGTAGGACACACCAGACCACAGTCACTTGTTGTGAGACTCAGTCCCAAGAACATGTCTTCGCCGTTTGCTGAGCTTTGCTTGAGGAGTCAGTGTTGATTAACTTTTAGCAGCTCAGGCTCAGCTGCAGTCCTGGCAGGTCTGCTTTCTAACCATGGTGTTTGAGAGCAGTGGCTAGGGGTTCCTTTTCTTTCAAGAATTGTCAGAGGAGGTGGCTTTGTGCAGCATGTCCCAGCCATCTCGGCTGGGGACATCTTTCTCAGTGTCTAAACCAGACGCAACTTCTCACGGTCCCTCTGTCCCACGGCAGGGCTGTGAGTGAGAGTCAAAGGGGTTTTTCCTCTTTTTCTACACTGGGAGGTAAATCGTCTTAGAAGTTAAGAGGTGAGCTCTGGGGTCAGAGAGCCCCTGAGAAAACCAGGGTTCTCATTTCAGCTCCGCTGTTTGCCACCCGTGATCTTTGGCTCTGACCTCTCCGTGAGTTCCTCGTCTGTAAAGTGGGGATGATAATGCCAGCTTTCATCAATTCTACCGTGCATTTACGGTAGAAATTTTTTTCACATTTTAACAGCTCTGGATTTGGGATCATCTTAAAATCAGTTGCATCTTAGATTTGTTGAAATAAAGCAATTCCTGCCTCACCGTGCTCTATTGAATGAGAAAAACACGCAGAGGCCTGGTGCCTAGCCAGTACTCAGTTAACAGAAGCAGGTGGTGGTGTCATTCTTGGCATTGTCGTCATGACCTCTGCATATTCTGGGTCCTCTGGAAACCTGGACTTAACTGTACCGAGCAGTGGGGTTACAGTGAAGACCAAGAAACATGGCTGGAGTAGAGGATAAAGCTCTCAGGAAGTCAGTATTAGGGGACTGCTGTATGATTTATCCACACAGCAGACATTTTTGACGAAATACTACTCGCAAATGATAAGGCCTACGTGGTGGGCCTACAGGGATGACCAAGAAATGTGCCCAGTCAGTGAGCTGTTGTGAAGTACCTGTGGGCTCTCAGGACATCCTAGCGCCTTCTGACTTGGAGTTCCCGCCCATGGATGTTTATGTAGTGCTCCACGTGTGCACGGTGCTTTGCCATCATGGGCCACTCAGGCCTGCTGCTCCCCGGGGCCATCCCGCTGCTCTCTCGGAGGCCAGTCTCCATCTGGTGACATGCTCCTGTTTGTTGTCTTAAAGATGCTGTGACAGAGCTAAGCAGAGAATTTAAGGAAGCAGGGGAACCCGTCACAGATGACAGCACCAGCTTGCATAAGTTTTCATATAAACTTGAGTATCTCCTTCAAGTAAGTGACTCCTGTCATGTGTTGATTTCTGCTCTATTGTCTCTTGTCTCCCTCTTGGCTTCTTCATCAACATTCAGGACGCAGCTCTGAAAGCTCAGTGCAGCCGTTGAGCCCTCCTGGTTAGACTGAAGGTCAGAGCCATCCCCAGCCTCCAAGTGTGATCCTCTGAGGAATCAGAATGTTGCCCCTCAGGATGGTTTTGGGAATCGAGAACATTCTTCAGAGATTTAGGTCATCTTAATGCAGGTCACAAGGTCTCTCTGTATAGCAGGGATCTTAACTTTGGGGGAGTCACGTACCCCTTTGGCAGTCCGGTGAAAGCTATGGAATCTCTCCCCAAACACATGCATACACATGCAATCACACATTTTCTAGGAGTATGCGGACCCTCTGAAGATTATCCAGAGGCCCCTGTTTTAGAGCCTCGCTCCTCAAAGTGTGGTCCATAGACCAGCAGCATCGGCATCACCTGGGAACCGGTTAGAAGTGCACTCTTGGTCCCCACCTTGACGTGCTGAATCAGGATCTCTGAGGTCAGCTCAGGAAGTTTTCTTTTAACATGTTTACAGTGTAATGCTTATATCTGCTTGGTTCAAGAAGCACAGATCTAGAGAACTCTGCAGATGTGGAAAAATACAGGCAACTACAATAGGCAGGAAGGAAATGGACCAATATGATAACAGAAGTTATCTTAGGGTGATGGTGTAGGCATTATAATTTTTTCTTTTCTTTTTTGTTTTATCCAGTTGTCCTAACAATGTATGCAAATCTTTTATAATAAAAAAATGCTATAGAACATTACGTTATAGGAAGATATCCTCTATCATTTTGAACACCATAAGTTTGCAATGTCACCTCCCACCAACGTGTATAGGATGAGAGCCCACTGGACGAGGTGTCTCAGTGTATTGAAGGCTCACCTTTCATGTGCCTTTTTTTTTTTTTAATTTTTATTAGAGTATAGTTACTTTACAATGTTGTGTTAGTTTCTGCTGTACAGCAAAGTGAATCAGCTGTATGTATACATATATCCCCTCTTTTTTGGTCACATGCCTTTTCAACTGGTTCTGTTGTTTTACATTATGAAAGTATTAATAGGGCGCTTTTTTTTTCCAGCCCATTTTGGTTTTAGATTTGAAATGGCTCATGGCTGACATTTATTTGGATTTATTCTATGTATATTAAAACAGTAATGAAACTTGAGTTGAGTAACGGATAAAATGTCACTAACACATTTCCCTATGTCAAGACATCGTTAACACTCTTCATGTTACCCTTAAAACGTTTCATTTGAGTTTCTTTACCATGTCTTAATAGCACCTTTGGTGTCTTCCACCCAACTCTATACACAGAGGTCCCTTTGGGCGCCTGTTATTCCTGAACCTCACTAGTTGTATGACCTTGAGCTAGTTACTTAACCTCTCCTAGCCTCAGTTTCCTCACCTGTAAATTGAGGGCGAAAACCCCCTCATTCACCAGTAAATAAAAATAATGCCAATAAAGGGCCTTGCCCAGTGCCAGGCAACTAAGAAGCTGTCATTATTCATCGTTTAAATGGTGGGATAAATAGCAGTGGGTTTGGACGTCCTCACTCTCCTTTCCCTGCCCAGTTTGATCAGAAAGAGAAGGCCACCCTCCTGGGCAACAAGAAGGACTACTGGGATTACTTCTGTGCCTGCCTGGCCAAGGTGAAAGGAGCCAATGACGGGATCCGATTCGTCAAGTCTATTTCAGAGGTAAGCAGAGAAGCCAGGGACCTCACCTCTTTCCCTTGCCTGCCTTAAACCTCTCTCGCAGAGACCTTTGCTGCAAACAGCCAAGTGAGGAAGTGAGGGTTTACGTGTAGGAAGGAAGTAAAGAAATCCAGTCCAGGTATATGCAGTGCCCACTGAGAGCTCTGGGAAGCCACCTAGGTGAGTGTTTACCAAGCCGAGGAGTGGCTCAGTCCTGACTGTATTAGACCCCAACCCAAATGTAACCTAACAGGGTGGGCTGCTCACATTGTGGTCTGCTCATGGTGCCCCCGAGAGGTGTACAGCCTAGGACACCTTTACCTTTTTTAGAAGAATCGGTTTCTTAGATAAAATTCTTAGAGTTTGCTAGGCTACTTTCCCTATGATTTGCCCAGGAAACTTGGATTTAAAATGAAGAGTGATGTGGGATCTTGAGAGACAACTAAGCAGCTTCGCACATTAAGTTCTGAGCCCCTCAAGAGCAGAATGCCATGGCTTTGCTGTTTTACAAAACTCCAGATCAGCAACAACACGCATACTCTGTCTCTCTGTCTCTGTCTCTCTGTCTCTGTCTCTCTGTCTCTCTCTCTCTCACACACACACACACACACACACACACACTAGCCTAGTCCATCTGGGAGTGAAGAACTTTGCGCATTAAGGAGCAAGTAATCCCCTAGATTTGAGGCAGGAGCCCTAAAGGGTTTGTATATTTCATCTTTCTTTGCAGTATCTCATGAGTAAGTCTAAGGTCCCTTTGAAGTTGGCAGACATGCTCCTTGGCCAGCCAAGGAGGCCACAGGGTCAGGTGCTCTGGGAAGAACTCCCTGGCCGTGCCAGCTGGAGCCAGGTGGGTTTCTCCTTATAGCGAATGATGGTGTTAGACACGTGGACACTGAGGGCTGGGCATTTTCCACCAGCTGTACCTTCTGACAGCTGAGAAAATGAGGAAAGATCCTGGCTCATAGGAGTTGGTTTAATGTCCAGGTAGTACAGATACGTCCCGTGAGATCTTGCCTGGTGGGACATTCAGGTGCATGATTAAGTGTTGTATCGCTTCTCAGTATAGTGCAATGAGTTCTGATTAGATGCTAACAAAAATTAAGAAAGTGGATGATGAAAGTGGACCCATGATCTCAAAAAGTTCAAAAACAAAAAAACCCAACAAGGCTATGCAGTATATTCATTTGCAGTATAAGGGAACTATTACTGTTCCCTTCCCCAAAGGATGTTTAAAAAGACCTTTTTTTAAAAAAATAATAAATTTATTTATTTATTTATTTTATTTTTGGCTCTGTTGGGTGGTCTTTGCTGTGCGCGGGCTTTCTCTATTTGCGGCGAGCGGGGACTACTCTTCGTTGCAGTGCATGAGCTTCTCATTGTGTTGGCTTCTCTTGTTGCAGAGCATGGGCTCTAGGCGTGCGGGCTTCAGTAGTTGTGGCACGTGGGCTCAGTAGTTGTGGCTCGCAGGCTCTAGAGCACAGGCTCAGTAGTTGTGGTGCACGGGCTTACTTGCTCCATGGCATGTGGGGTCTTCCTGGACCAGGGCTCGAACCCGTCTCCCCTGCATTGACAGGCGGATTCTTAACCACTGCGCCACCAGGGAAGTCCCTAAAAAGACCTTTTAAAATAGCTCCTTTTACATATATAATCAGTTCAGTTAATAGGCCTGATTTAAAATGTAGCCTCAACTCTTTGCCTTCAAAAAATTAAATGTTCTAAATGCTGTTACAATGGCCATTTTATTACTAAGGAGAAGCCCCAGGACATCCCTGGTGGTGCAGTGGTTAAGGATTCGCCTGCCACTGAAGCAGACATGGGTTCGAGCCCTGGTCCGAGAAGATCCCGCATGCCGTGGAGCAGCTGAGCCTGTGCGCCACAACTACTGAAGCCCTCATGCCTAGAGCCCATGCTCCGCAACAAGAGAAGCCACCACAATGAGAAGCCCACGCACCACAAAGAAGAGTAGCCCCCGCTCTTCTCAACTAGAGAAAACCCGCGCACAGAAACGAAGACCCATCACAGCCAAAAATAAATAAAAACAAAAAAACAAGCCCTTCCCTTGGGAGCTTACAGACATGGGCTGTTATGTGGGGTTCTTTTTAGATGCTGCAGGGCCTATGTGTGGGTGTGCATTTGTGTGGCCAGTACACTTCACTTCAGGATGCCTTGCTCAGCTGTTCTCGGCTGCCTGGGTCTCCTGGTTATCACCACTGAACACTTTGTTCTCACCTCACTTATCAGTGGAAAAGCATTTGGACATAGGGATGTCATCAAGATTCTCCCCTGGGCATCTGTCTTGATACACTCCCCACGGACGTGCCATGGTGGTTTTTATAAAGCCACGTCAGGCTGCTGCCCACCTTCATTTCCAGACCTCCTGGCTATACCCCAAACCCACAAAACTCACATGGAAAAAATGTCTTACAGCCTCTTACATAAATGTCTTCTGAGGTTTCACACCTTCTTATTTTTTAAAACTACTTCATATTGTGGTATCATTTCCTCGAGTCAGCAATGAGAAGGCATATAGCTCTGAGCTAAAAGGTGCTGGGTACCGGGATGTTTATAGCATCATGAATGTGCCGGTGCTTGAGGCCATACCTCATGTTTCCTGTCTCATTCCAGCACCATGGCTGGCTTCTTAATAGGATGGAGGATTAGGACCATCTTTTGGTCAAACCACTACCGTCCCTTCCCCCAACCACCAAGTTAAACATTTCTGACCTTTGAAGAGGTGAGGAGGGAATGGGTCTTGGCTTACCCTGCTCAGAGCCAGCACCTGACAGAACAGGTGCATGTGGTAGGTTGAGAGGTTTTGAGTTCCTGCCTACTTATCTTGAGCTTCTGGGGCTGAAACATTGGGAGCATGAATCCTAATTTGATCAGATCTACATGGCCCATGGTCCATCCTGGCAACTAGGGCCAGAGTCTGTGACCAGCATACCCCACCACCATCACAACAAGCTTCCAGAAACCTCTTTAGAAGCCATGTTTTGGCACTGTGGGGAGAGTTTTTGAAGACAGGCCTGCACCTGGACCCTCCGTCCACCTCAGACTTCCTGAAACAGAACCACACCCATTTTTCATTACTTCAGTGTAACTGGGCCACCTAGAAACACCCCTGCCCTCACCCCCTGGGCACCTTATGACTAAATGCAGTGTGTTGGTATAGCTGAAAATAAATCCAGCTAGGAAAGCATTGACAGATATGTGGATTTTAGTGATGGTTCCACGAGGACACAGAGGAGGCAGTTATACATCCATCACAAGTCCCCCTAACACTCCTCTGCCTTTTGCCCTCCTCTCTCTTGCCCCTTCCACATGGGCTCCAGCCAAGCCCCTTAGGCCTCTTCCCCTGCATCTCTTCTCCCAAAACTTCAAAAATAAGCCCAGGCATTAGCTAAACTGAGACCGTCTCTTCCTCTTCAAGTGTACTGGTATGAGAAGCCCTTCATTTACCTCCAAGCTGTTTTGTAAATATTCCAAATTAAGTCAGACTGTTTCATCTCTGACTCTAAACCCAGGGATTCTGATGGAGCAGAGGAGGAAGAATGACATTCCGGTAGAATCCACAGTAGATATTTGAGCCTTTTGTGACTGTATCTTCCTTGACACGTATGCTGGAGTCTACAGATTATTCTCAGATGGAGGCCTGCAAGACATCCACCCACTTTAGGCCTCCCTCTGTGGGGTGACATTCTCAAATGTTTTGTGTTCTTTGAGGGACGTAAGTGAAGGTTATGTGTAGGGTAGGATTGGGTGACATTTTCTGCCCTGTTTTGTTTCTGCTTTTGTCAGCCATCCATGAGGCCTGTATTTGGAGTTAGGCTAACAGCTCTTCATTTCTATTTTATCTACATTTTCCAGCTCCGAACATCTCTGGGAAAGGGAAGAGCATTTATTCGCTACTCCTTGGTGCACCAGAGGTTGGCCGACACCTTACAGCAGTGCTTCATGAACACCAAAGTGACCAGGTAAATACATGACAGTGCTGGGCTTTACCCCACACCATTCAGAAATGACCCAAAGTCCCCTCACTAATAATAACGATACAACTTAAAGTCAGATGGAGAAAGACAAATATCATATGATGTCACTTATATGTGGAATCTAAAAAACAGTATGAATGAACGTATTTATGAAACAGAAACAGACTCACAGACATAGAAAACAAACTTATGGTTACCAAAGGGGGAAGCGGGGAGAGGAATAAATTGGGAGTATGGGATTAACAGATGCACACTACCATATGTAAAATAAACAGAGATTTACTGTATAGCACAGGGAACTATATTCAATATCTTATAATAAGCTATAATGGAAAAGAATAAAAAAAAGAATATAGATATGTACATGTATATGTGTAACCAAATCACTTTGCTGTACACCTGAAATTAACACAGTATTGTAAATCAACTAGACTTCAATTTAAAAAAAAATGGTGATGCTAGTTACAATACACAAGATGGAAGCCATCAATGTCCAATGATGGGAGGCTGTTAAATTACAGCAAATTAGGGCTTCCCTGGCGGCACAGTGGTTAAGAATCTGTCTGCCAATTCAGGGGACACGGGTTTGAGCCCTTGTCCTGGAAGATCCCACATGCCGCGGAGCAGCTAAGCCCGTGCGCCACAACTACTGAGCCTGCGCTCTAGAGCTCACGAGCCACAAATACTGAAGCCTGCATGCGTTAGAGCCCATGCTCCACAACAAGAGAAGCCACTGCAATGAGAAGCCCGTGCACGGTAACGAAGAGTAGCCTCCACTTGCCGCAACTAGAGAAAGCCGCGTGCAGCAACAAAGACACAGTACGACCAAAAAGAAAAAATAATAAATAAATAAATGAATTTATTTTTAAAAATTACAGCAAATTATTTTAAATGACATAACAAGGCATCATTTAAAATTGCAATAAGGTATACCAAAACCTGAGATGAATTACCATATTTTAGTATATGTTACCACCCTTTTGCTAATATAAATATGATTTAAGTAGCGCCATGACTGTCCAGGTTAGACTGTATAGGGTTAAAGGAGGAACTAATTATGTAAGCCTTGATAGCTGCCCAAGAGTGAAGAAGAGGTGGTCTCCCCTCCCCAGTTTTTCTTTGATTATAAAAATGTAGCCTACTCTGTTCTTGGGGCTGCTGCGCTGCCTTGCCTGCCCACTTGTATCTCTCACAAGTTTCCTATGCTAATAAACTCACTCTTTGCCTGCCAAATAAATAAATAAAATTGCAATAAGGAAGTCTGTATAGCAACAAGGAAAATAACAATATAATAATCAATGAAAAAGAATGCAAATCTTATCTATCCTAATGGCAACAATGAAATTACAAAAATATATATAAAAGAATTAGAAAGTATATGAGAACATGAGGAGGCGGAGTCAAGAGGGCGGTGTGGGAAGACGCAGAATTAGTGTCTCCCCACAGCTAGGGTGCCTGCCAGCCGCTGGTGGGGGACTCTGATGCCCAAGGAGATGGGAGGAAACCCCAGAGTGAACCAGTAGGGGGACTGAGCAGGGAGGAGAAGTGGAGGCCAGACAGGATCAGTGCCCCTGAGGCCGGGGAGATCAGGAGAGGCAGGTGGGAGGGACCACCCAGGAGGAGCAGAGGGCATTTGCCCTGCCAACTTGAGTCCAGGAAGACTGCTGGGCATCCAAGAAGCCCGCTGGGCTCCCAGGTGAGGTCCCCTGCCCTCTGAGACCAGGGGTGGGGAGCATGCCTGGGCCCCTTCTGTTCCTTGAGCCTAAGCTGCACCCCAACAGCCCCCGGGGTGTTTTCCAGCCCTGTGGGTCCTGAGCATTGGCCCCACCCACCACCCAAACCTCACCCTTGCTTAGGCCCCACCCTCCACAGGCAAGGCCTTTTCCCTCCCTGTTTTAAATTTTTGTTTATTTTTTTTCTTTTCCCTCCTCTTTTTTACTATTGTGGTACTAATGTACCTTACGGTTGTTGATTCATCTATATTTTTATTTTTATATTTTTCCTAACATATCTGTTAGTTTCCTAGTCTAATTTTATTTTTTACTTCGCTATTGTTGTATGTTTCTTTCTTTTCCTGCTGCCCCAGGCAGCTTGCGGGATCTTGGTTCACGAGCCCAGGGTTGGGCCAAAGCTCCTGCAGTGGGAGCTCCAAGTCTGAACCACTGGACTAACAGGACCTCACACCCCAGGGAATATTCTTTGGAGTGAGGTCTCACGGAGCTCCTCATCTCAGCACCAAGACCCAGCTCTACCCAATAGCCTACAAACCCTAGTGTTAGAAGCCTCAGGCCAAACAACCAGTAAGACAGGAGCACAATCCCACTCATTAAAAAAAAAGTGAGATGGCAAAAAAATACGTCACAAATGAAGGAGCAAGGCAAAAACCTACAAGACCAAATAAGTGAAGAGGAAATAGGCAATCTACCTGAAAAAGAATTCAGAGTAACGAGAATAAAGATGATCCAGAATCTCGGAAATAGAATGGAGGCATGGATTGAGAAAATACAAGTGTTTAACAAAGATCTAGAAGAACTAAAGAACGAACAAACAGAGATGAACAACACAATAACTGAATTACAGTAGAAGGAATCAATAACAGAATAACTGAGGCAAAAGAACGAATAAGTGAGCTGAAAGACAAAATGGTGGAAATAATTGCTGAGGAGCAGAATAAAGAAAAAAGAATGAAAAGAATTGAAGACAATCTCAGAGACCTCTGGGACAACACTAAATGCACCAACATTCAAATAATAGGGGTCCAAGAAGAAGAGAAAAAGGGTCTGAGAAAATATTTGAAGAGATTATAGTTGAAAACTTCCCTAACATGGGAAAGGAAATAGTCACCCAAGTCCAGGAAGCACAGAGTCCCATACAGGATAAACCCTAGGAAAAACACACCAAGACACATATTAAACAAACTAACAAAAATGAAATTCAAATAAAAAATATTAAAAGCAGCAAGGGAAAACCAAAAAATAACATACAAAGGAATCCCCATAAGGTTATCAGCTGATTTTTCAGCAGAACCTCTGCAAGCCAGAAGGGAGTGGCAGGATATACTTAAAGTGATGAAAGAGAAAAACCTACAACCAACAGTACTCTACCCAGCAAGGATCACATTCAGATTCAATGCCAAAGTCAAAAGCTTTTCAGACAAGCAAAAGCTAAGAGAATTCAGCACCACCAAACCAGTTTTACAACAAATGCTAAAGAAACTCCTCTAAGCGGGGAAACACAAGAGAAGAAAAAGGCCCACAAAAACAAACCCAAGGGCTTCCCTGATGGCGCAGTGGTTGAGAGTCCGCCTGCTGATGCAGGGGACATGGGTTTGTGCCCCGGTCTGGGAAGATCCCACATGCTGTGGAGCAGCTAGGCCCGTGAGCCATGGCTGCTGAGCCTGCGCATCTGGAACCTGTACTCTGCAACGGGAGAGGCCACAACAGTGAGAGGGCCGCGTACCGCAAAAAAAAAAAAAACAATTAAGAAAATGGTAATAGGCACATACATATCGATAATGACCTTGAATGTAGATGGATTAAATGCCCCAACCAAAAGACACAGACTGGCTGAATGGATTCAAAAACAAGACCCATATATATGCTGTTTACAAGAGACCCACTTCAGACCTAGGGAAACTTACAGACTGAAAGTGAAGGGATGGAAAAAGATATTCCATGTAGATGGAAATCAAAAGAAAGCTGGAGTAGCAATACTCATATCAGATAAAATAGACTTTAAAATAAAGAATGTTACAAGAGACAAGGAAGGACACAACATAATGATCAAGGGATCAATCCAAGAAGATATGACAATTATAAATGTTTATGCATCCAACATAGGAGCACCTCAATACATAAGGCAAATGCTAAAAACCATGAAAGGAGAAATCGACAGTAGCACAGTAATAGTAGGGGGCTTTAACAGCCCACTTACACCAATGGACAGATCATCCAGACAGAAAATAAATAAGGAAACATAAGCTTTAAATGACATAATAAACCAGATAGATCTAATTGATATTTATAGAACATTCCACCCAAAAGTGGCAGAATACACTTTCTTCTCAAGTGCACATGGAACATTCTCCGGGATAGATCACATCTTGGGTCAGAATTGGAGCCTCAGAAAATTTAAGAAAATTGAAATCGTATCAAGCATCTTTTCTGACCACAATGCTATGAGATTGGAAGTGAATTACAGGGAAAAAAACTGTAAAAACCACAAACACATGGAGGCTGAACAGTGCGGTGCTAAATATCCAAGAGATCGCTGAAGAAGTCAAAGAAGAATAAAAAAATACATAGAAACAAATAACAATGAAAACACAATGACCCAAAACCTATGGGATGCAGCAAAAGCCGTTCTAAGAGGGAAGTTTATAGCAATACAATGTCACCTCAAGAAACAAGGAAAATCTCAAATAAACAATCTAACCCTACACTTAAAACAGCCAGAGAAAGAAGAACAAAGAAAACCCAAAGTCAGTAGAAGGAAGGAAATCATAAAGATCAGAGCAGAAATAAGTGAAATAGAAACAAAGAAAACAATAGCAAAGATCACTAAAAGTAAAAGCTGGTTCTTTGAGAAGATAAACAAAATTGATAAACCCTTAGCCAGACTCATCAAGAAAAAAAGGGAGAGGACGCAAAGCAATAAAATTAAAAATGAAAAAGGAGAAATCACAACGGGCACTGCAGAAATACCAAAGATTATAAGAGACTACCAGAAACAACTATATGCCAATAAAATGGACAACCATGAAGAAATGGACAAATTCTTGGAAAGGTACAATTTTCCAAGACTGAACCAGGAAGAATTAGAAAATATAGACAGACCTATCACAAGTAATGAAATTGAAACCGTAATTAAAAATCTTCCAACAAACAAAGGTCCAGGACCAGATGGCTTCACAGGCAAATGCTATCAAACATTTAGAAAAGAGCTAACACTGATCCTTCTCAAACTCTTCCAAAAAATTGCAGAGGGAGAAACACTCCCAAATTCATTCTGTGAAGCCACCATCACCCTGATACCAAAACCAGAAAAAGATATCACAAAAAAAGAAAATTATAGACCAATATCACTGATGAACATAGATGCAAAAATCTTGAACAAAATACTAGGAAACAGAATCCAACAGCACATTAAAAGGATCATACACCACAATCAAGTGGGATTTATCCCAGGGATGCAAGGATTCTTCAGTATACGCAAACCAGTCACTGTGATACAACACACTAACAAATCAAGGAATAAAAACCATATGATCATCTCAATAGATGCAGAAAAAGCTTTTGACAAAATTCAACACTCATTTACGATAAAAACCCTCCAGAAAATGGGCATAAAGGGAACCTACCTCAACATAATAAGGGCCATATATGACAAACCCACAGCAAGCATCATACTCAATGGTGAAAAACTGAAAGCACTTCCTCTAAGATCAGGAACAAGACAAGGATGTCCATTCTCACCACTGTTATTCAACATAGTTTTGGAAGTCCTAGCCACGGCAATCAGAGAAGAAAAAGAAATAAAAGGAATCCAAATTGGAAAAGAAGAAGTAAAACTGTCACTGTTTGCCAATGACATGATACTAAACATAGAAAATCCTAAAGGTGCCACCAGAAAACTACTAGAACTAATCAATGAATTTCATAGGGTTGCAGGATACAAAATTAATGCACAGAAATCTCTGGCATTCCTATACACCAACAATAAAAAATCAGAAAGAGAAATTAAGGAAACACTCCCATTTTACCATTGCAACAAAAAGAATAAAATACCTAGGAAAAATCCTGCCTAAGGAGGCAAAAGACTTGTACTCAGAAAACTATAAAACAGTGGTGAAAGAAGTCAAAGATGACAAACAGATGGAATATACCATGTTCTTGGATTGGAAGAATCAATATTGTGAAAATGACTATACTACCCAAAGCAATCTACAGATTCAATGCCATCCCTATCAAACTACCAGTGGCATTCTTCACAGAATTAGAACAAAAACTTTTACAATTCGTATGGAAACACAAAAGACCCCGAATAGCCAAAGCAATCTTGAGAAAGAAAAATGGAACTGGAGGAATCAGGCTTCCTGACTTCAAACTATACCACAAAGCTACAGTAATCAAGACAGTATGGTACTGGCACAGAAACAGAAATATAGATCATTGGTACAGGATAGAAAGCCCAGAGATAAACCCACACACATACGGGCACCTAATTTATGACAAAGGAGGCAAGAACATACAATGGAGAAAAGACAGCCTCTTCAATAAGTGGTGCTGAGAAAACTGGACAGCTACATGTAAAAGAATGAAATTAGAACACCATACACAAGAATAAACTCCAAATGGATTAAAGACTTAAATGTAAGACCAGACACTATAAAACTCTTAGAGGAAAACATAGGAAAAACACTTGTTGACATAAACCACAGCAAGATCTTTTTTGACCTACCTCCTAGAGTAATGGAAATAAAAACAAAAATAAACAAATGGGACCTAATGAAACTTCAAAGCTTTTGCACAGCAAAGGAAACCATAAACAAGACGAAAAGACAACCCTCAGAATGGGAGAAAATATTTGCAAATGAAACAATGGACAAAGGATTAATCTCCAAAATATACAAACAGCTCATGGAGCTCAGTATCAAAAAACAAACAACCCAATCCAAAAATGGGCAGAAGACCTAAATAGACATTTCACCAAGGAAGACATACAGATGGCCAACAGGCACATGAAAAGATGCTCATCATCACTAATTATTAGAGAAATGCAAATCAAAACTACAATGAGATATCCCCTCATGCCAGTTAGAATGGCCATTATCAAAAAATCTAGAAACAATAAATGCTGGAAAGGGTGTGGTGAAAAGGGAACCCTCCTGCACTGTTGGTGGGAATGTAAATTGATATAACCACTACGGAAAACAGTATGGAGGTTCCTTAAAAAACTGAAAATAGAACTACTATATGACCCAGCAATGCCACTACTGGGCATATAGCCTGAGAAAACCATAATTCCAGAAGAGACATGTACCACAGTGTTCATTGCAGCACTATTTACAATAGCCAGGACTTGGAACCAACCTAAATGTCCATCGACAGATGAATAGATAAAGAAGATGTGGCACATATATACAATAGATATTTCTCAGCCATAAAAAGAAACAAAATTGAGTTATTTGTAGTGAGGTGGATGGACCTAGAGTCTGTCATACAGAGTGAAGTAAGTCAGAAAGAGAAAACCAAATACCGTATGCTAATGCATATATATGGAATCTTAAAAAAAAAAAAAGTACTGATGAACCTAGTTGCAGGGCAGGAATAAAGAGGTAGACATAGAAAATGGACTTGAGGACATGGGGTAGGAGGTGAAGCTGGGGCAAAGTGAGAGTAGCATCGACATATATACACTATCGAATGTAAAATAGTTGTCTGGCGGGAAGCAGCAGCCTAGCACAGGGAGATCGGCTCCGTGCTTTGCAATGTCCCTAGAGGGGTGGGATAGGGAGGATGGGAGGGAGGCTCAAGAGAAAGGGGATATGAGGACATGTATATGCACGTGGAAGATTCGCTTTGTTGTGCAACAGAAACTAACAGTATTGTGAAGCAGTTATACTCCAATAAAGATCTATTTAAAAAAAAGTATATGAGAACATGATTTGATAAAGGATAGGATTATGTATATTTTTCTTTTTAAATTATTGTTTTTGCAGTGAACAATTCTTCAGCACTTTCAGCACGTATTAAAGTGTATAACATCTCTGAAACAAGTTCAGAAGACCTCAAATAAATGTGATAAACTAAACAATAATAATGACAACCACAGCAGCAGTGCCTGTCTGTGTCACACCCTGGCACAAGCAGGGACCTCCCCCTATCATCCTCCTCTCCCCTTCCCTACCACAGTCCTTGGCGCACATTGGGCAGTTAGCACTGAGCTGTCACAGGTGAGGAAAGTGAGGCTCAGAGAGGCCAAATGCCTTTCTCTGGGCCCCACTGATGCTGAGGCAGAAAGCAGGAGCTTGGGTCTAGGTCTCTGAACTTCTAATGCCAGGTAGTTTCCTCTGGTGGATGGCAGGTCCTTGGTGCTGGCACTAATGGGCAGACCCCACTGGTCACCCTGGACCAGTGGGTTGCAGCCTTGGCCTCTCATCAGAATCACCTGTGGGGTTTTTAACACCAACGAGCCTGGGGCCTCACCTGAGACAGAGTCAGCACCCGCCCCATGGGTCTGGGCTCCCTGGGGATTGTGATGAGTGACCAGATTGGGAGCCTTTGTGCCCCTAGTGCTGAAGCCTCAGCAGGAGGGGAAGGAGGAGGGAGAGGTGGGGTTGAGCGTGTAAGGCGGGGAGAGGGTGTCAGATTAGGAGCCGCAGATCAGCTGCCAGTCAGCTGAACCTCTTTGGCTTGCCCGGCATCCCTTTTCCAGCTCTGCCTCCCCTCTACCTCTGGAGTGTTCTTCCAGTTAATTAAAAGAAATACTTCTGAATTAAAGGAAGACCATTGGGGGGGAATATTTTGTTTCATTTTGTCCCCTTTAAGATTGATTTGCATAAATGTGTATTGCTCTTGCATGTGCCAGGCTTTGTGAATGCATGTGAGTTGAGAACCTTTGCACAGTTGATTTGAAGGTTATTTTGTTGTGATGTTTGGTGAAAACTGTCATAAACAGCTTGACTCCCAGTGTATCCCAGTTCAGCCGAGTAGCTCATTAAACTCATCAGTGTTGTCTTTTTAATTCTTATTGCTTCACGTGAAGTGAAACAACTACCACTTCCAAATGGAGATGTTTTGTTCCTTGGCTTTTATGTTGGTGTCTGGACAGAAATTAGCAGTGAGTTCATTGTCCTGTATTGAGTTCTCTGGAGGGGATAGAAGACAAGATTTTCTTTGAAAAAAGAAGTGTTCTGGGGCTTCCCTGGTGGCACAGTGGTTGAGAGTCCGCCTGCCAATACAGGGGACACGGGTTCGTGCCCCGGTCCGGGAAGATCCCACATGCCGTGGAGCGGCTGGGCCCGTGAGCCATGGCCGCTGAGCCTGCGCGTCCGGAGCCTGTGCTCCGCAACGGGAGAGGCCACAGCAGTGAGAGGCCCGCGTACCGCAAAAAAAAAAAAAAAGTGTTCTTTCCCCTACAACTGCCTTTTCTTGGACAGTAATTCAGATTTAAGGTTTCTCGCATTCATTTGGAAATAGGTATGATATAAATAATAAACAAATAAGCATATAATTCATTTCAGTAATTTCCCTGAAGAAGAGCAAACTTATTTGAGAGTTATGTGCTCCTGCAGTGAAAATCAAATTGGGGTGTATGTGTCTGTGTCCGTCTTTAATTAATTTAGTTATCTGAGTTGGAATTTGATGAGGCAGAGCCTTACTGGGAGGACTGATTTCTTGCCTTGCTTTATGTACTCCTGCACTTGACCCCTTTTTGTGTTTCCCTGCAGTGACTGGTACTACGCAAGGAGCCCCTTTCTGAAGCCAAAGCTGAGCTCTGACATCGTGGGCCAACTCTACGAGCTGACCGACATCCAGTTTGACCTGGCATCGAGGGGCTATGACCTGGATGCTGCCTGGCCGACGTTTGCCAGGTACCTTGAAGAATTCATTGCTTGGTTGAAAAGAGCGGAAAGAGGTGTTTGAAGTTTTGAAGCTTGCCACCAGTCTACTCAAAGCAGTTTTGCTCATGCAGTAAATTACCTGTAGCTTTGCAACTCTTATCCTTGCTGATTTTACAGACTTGGTTGAATCGTGACTAGCGATAGCATCTGGAGGCTCCAACCTTAAACTAACCTAACTGGCCAGGTGGCATGAGTCAGTGGAGACGCATATGTGAAACCCCAGGTTTTCAGATGTGTTAAGGGGCTTGGTGTGGGAGCAAGCGGGGAGCAAGTGGGCTTTTCCCCAATATGTTCTCATAGATACAGTTATCGTGGAGGCCAGTAAGAGAGGGAGCGAAGGCTCGTCCATGTAAGGTTTGCTGGAAAGGTTGCTTTGCTGTGTTTTCTTCTCCTGTACCAGTACGGCACTCACACACTGTCTAACTGCATCCTCACAACTGTTCCAGGAGCAAGGTGCTGAGGAAACAGGCTCAGAGAGTGGAGGGACTTGCCTAGATTCACATAGCTGGCAGGCAGCAGGGCCAGGGTACTAGACTTGAGTTAAACTCAAGTCCAGCATTCTTTGTTTTGTTTTGCTTTCTGTTAATAAGGTGGTGTTTTGTTTTGGTTTTTTTCCAATTTTTGTATTTCTTATTAGGGACTTCTTTCTATGGAGGAAAAAATACTGACTATAATGGAACCCATTTGCCAACCACCAGGATTTAAGAGCTAACCTTTTTGCCATATTTACTTCGTGTCATTTTTAGAACTGTTCAATTTTAAAATCATTTCAGACTTACAGAAAAGTTGTAAAAATAGTACACGGTACTCATTCACTTTGATTCCCCAGTTATCAGTATTTTACTACAAACGTTTTAATCATTCTTTCTCTCTCTCTCTCTTTGTTTTTTTTTTCCGGCCGTGCCACGTGGCATGTGGGATCTTAGTTCCCCCACCAGGGATTGAACCTGCGCCTCCTGCAGTGGAAGCGTGGAGTCTTAACCACTGGACCGCCAGGGAATTTCTTATCGTTCTTTATCTTTATGTAAACATGTTGGTTTATTTCCTGCATCATTTGAGTATAAGTTACAGACCTGATTCCCCTTTACTCCTAAGTACTTCATCGTGTATTTCCTAAAATCAGGGACATCCTTTCCTAAAGTCAGGGATATCTATATAACCTCAGTTCAATTGTTAAAATCACAGAACATTGATACAATACTGCTGTCTAATCTACAGACTGTGTTCAAATTTTAAGAATTACACCAGACATGTCTTTTATAATCCAGGATCACATGTCAGTGAATTGTTGGGTCTCCCTAGTCCTTGTTCATTTGGAACAGTTTCTCCTCTTTGCACAGACATTTTTGAAAAGTACAGGCCAGTTATTTTGTAAAATGTTCCTTAATTTGAGTTTGTCTAGTGTTTTCTCATTATTGGATTCAGATTAAGCATTTTTGGCAGAAATACCCGAGGTGTTGTGTCCTCAGCACATTGTACCCAGAGACACAGGATGTTGGTTTGTTTCATTACTTGCAAGGTTAACCATGATCATTTGGTTAAGGTGGTGTTAGCCAGGTTTCTCCTAAAGTTACTGTTTCTCTGTTTGTAATTAATATGCATCTTATGGGAAGACATTTTGAAACTAGGTTTTTTGTTGTTTGTTTTTTGCGGGTACGCGGGCCTCTCACTGTTGCGGCCTCTCCCGTTGCGGAGCATAGGCTCCGGACACGCAGGCTCAGCGGCCATGGCTCACGGGCCCAGCCGCTCCACGGCATGTGGGATCTTCCCGGACCGGGGCACGAACCCGTGTCCCCTGCATCGGCAGGCGGACTCTTAACCACTGCGCCACCAGGGAAGCCTGAGACTAGGTTTTTATCCTGTTTCTTTTAAATCTCCCTCCTGTTAGTTTTAGCATCTGGTAAATCTTTCCTGAATCAGTTACTATCATGGTTACCAGAGTGATTTTCTGACTCCATCATTCCTTCTACACTAATAGTTGGCATTCTATTGTAAGGAAGATCTTTTCCTTCTTCCCCATCTATTTATTCATTTATAGCAGTATTGACTCGTGGATTCTTATTTTTTTCAATAGGTTATATTCTGTCACTGTAATTATTTTAAACCTTAAGGTGCCTTATATTTGGCCAGTCAAAGTCCCTTCAAGCTGGTTCTTGTGGGATTTTTTTGTTATGTCAGATACCTTTTTTTTTTAAAGAAATAAAATATTATAGATCCCAATAAAGCCCCACCCCACGGCCATCCTTTCTCCTTTTCTCCCTTTCTAGAAGTAATTACAACCCTGTAGTTAATGCATGTCATTCCCCAATATTTGTGTTTCACTACATGTGCCTGTAAATATTACGTATGTATAGTTGTATTTTATATATATATTTTTAATTTGCTACATTGATTGAATCATGAGATGGCTATACTTTTGCAGGTTGCTTTTTTCATTCCACATTGTTTTTGAGATTTTTATCTGTGTTTGTACAGGGAGTTCTATAGATGTGGAGTAGGGCTGGCAAACCACGGCCCACAGGGCCATGTGTAACACGCCTTCATTTACCGATTGTCTATGGCTGCTTTCATGCTACAGTGGCAGAGTTGAATTGTGACAGAGCCCGTAAGGCTTGCCAACCGAAAATATTCACTATCTGGCCCTTTACAAAAAAAGATTGCCAACCTGTGGCATAGAGTATTCCATTGTGTGAGTAAACAGTTTATCTGTTTCTCTAGTGATGTGGAGTTAGAAAGGTTCTGCTTTTTCCACCATGACGGTGCTGCCAGGAGCATCCCCACACGTCACCTTATGCACATATGTGACTGTCTTTCAGGTAGATACTGAGAAGTGCAGTTGTTGGGTTGTGGAGACTAACAAGGTTTAAAATGCAATAATTGCGGATTAAGGAGAAGATTCTGGTCGTTAAGTAAAAGTGTGTTTCGTTTGCAATGACTAGCGCCATCAAATAGAACTTTCTGCAGTGAGGGAAATGTCGTGTGTGAACCAGAAGAGGTCTTCCAGCCACGTTACTCGTGTAACATAACGTAAAGCAGTGACCTCAAGGCCTGAAGCACAGCATGACCTTTATTTACCAGATTGACTGTTGTTGGTTCCTGCCTGGTAGACAAGTTATGGCTGGCATTGAAGGTTCTAGGAAAACTTAAACTCAAAACTGGGAAATACTATGTTCACTTCGTTCCTTTTTGGCAGTGAGAGCAAAGCCATCATGCTTAGACTTCAACAGCGGGGTCCAGCTGCTACGACCAACCTGAATGTGTGCTTTGGTGGAAATTGTTGGATTTTGCCTTCTTAGTGAACCTGGGAGGGCACTGCCGCTACCACCACCTGGTTGCCTAGTGACAACCAAGGCCTCCCCGAGTGTGTGTGTATGTGTGTGTGTTCCCTGCTCTGATGCAAGCATGTCTGTTTTGTGGCCCCGCAGGAGGACCCTGGGCACTGGCTCTTCTGCTTACCTATGGAGACCCCCCAGCCGAAGCTCCAGCATGAGCAGTTTGGTGAGCAGCTACCTGCAGGTAATGCCAAGAAGGCTGGGGACTCCCTCTCTGTCATGTCAACCAGGGCATGTTCTTGCCCCTCCCAGCTCAGGGGGATGTTCTCAGATGCCTGGTGTTCCAACTCGAGCGATATAACCCCTCAGTCCTACCCACTGTTTCCTCGAGTCCAGGTTTTTATAACCAAAAGGAATTTAGACCTTTTAAAAACTAAATTCTTTTAAAAGCTTTTTACAGTGTTTCAGAAGAAGTGGTTTGGCACTGTGATTAAAAGTGGCAAGGTCAAATCCTGACTGTCACTCGCCCCCTGTGTGACCCTGGGAAGGTGACTTAGCCTGTCGAAACTTGAGCTCTCTCATCTGTACAATCTCATACCAGCCTGTAAGGTGGTTGTAGGGAGTAAATGAGGGCACACACGCACAGTGCTTAAGGACTTGGCACAGGCTAGCGCTCAGTAAACGTTAGTGCGTCAGGTCAGTTTCATTAATTTTGTTAGAAATGTGAATGTATCGTATAGTTTAATGGGAAAGAACACTGAAATTAATCAGCAAAGCAAAATAAGACTAATCAGTATAAGTAGCATTTTTACCCTATTTTGTGATTTAATTGCAACAGGAATTGTGGGTAGGGTGCAATGGGGAAGCAGTAGTTTACATATAACATCATTTCTCTAAGAGCCAGCATCCATTATGTTACCAAAGCTACAGGAGGCTGAATGGGAAACGCAAGTTCTGGGTCTCAGTGGAGCTCACACATGTGGCGTTGCATCATATTTTAGGATGTGCTACTGACCTCCTCTGGCATATGCTTTGAGCAAAGGGGTCCCAGTCCTTTGAATAGCTCGATAGACTAAGCTTAGGTCATGTAATTGCTGTATTTTTACTTCTGTTCTCATTAACTTCTAAAGTTTTGCCAAGCAGCAATGTGGCTTCATACCCAAGCCACTTGTTTTTCGTGTTTCCTCCCCAGACTCAGGAGATGACCTCCCACCTTGACCTGAGCAACCCCTTAAACCATGAGGCACTGGAGGGCTTTGACGAGTTGCGGCTAGAGCTGGACCAGTTGGAGGTGCGGGAGAAGCAGCTGAAGGAGCAGATGCAGCAGCGGGAAAGAGAGAACCAGGAGCTGAGGGCGGCCGTCAGCCTGCATGGAGAGCAGCTGCAGGCAGAGAGAGAGAGGGGCCGCGCTGCCGCCGAGGACAACCTTCGCCTCGCCGGTGTGGTGGCCGCACTCCAGGAGCAGTGGGAAGTCACCCAGGCCACACAGAACACTGTGAAGGAGCTGCAGACGTGCCTGCAGGCCCTGGAGCTGGGGGCCTCGGAGAAGGAGGAGGATTACCTCTCAGCCCTGCGGCGGCTGGAGTCCCTACTGCAGCCCCTGGCTCGGGAGCTCGAGGCCACACGTGACTCCCTGGGCAGGAAGGACCAGTGCGCAGCTGATGTCCCAGACCAGCTGAGTGCAGCCGAGCAGAACGCTGACATGGCACTGGACGCAAAGGGGCAACAAAAGCGCATCCCCAGTGACTCGCCCCTGGAGACTCAGGAGCTGGGGGAGAAGCTCCTGGAAAGGGAGAGCACCCAGCTGGAGCAGCTGGCCAAAGAGCTGCAGCTGAAGGAGGAGGCCCGGGCCAGCCTGGAGCGCCTGGTGGAGGAGATGGCCCCGCTCCGGGAAGAGCTGTCCAGGAAGGGGCAGGAGGCAGCCCAGCTCCAGCGTCAGCTGCACGAGTCGTTGGCCCACTTGAGCTCCCTGGAGGAAGAGCTCGCGGAGGGGAGGCGAGAGGAGCAGCGGCGGCAGGAGGAAAAGGGGCTGCTGGAGCAGGAGGCCAGGTCCCTGACGCGGCAGCTGCAGCTCCTGGAGACCCAGCTGGCCCAGGTGAGCCAGCACGTGAGTGACCTGGAGGAGCAGAAGAAGCAGCTCATCCAGGACAAAGACCGCCTCAGCCAGAGGGTGGGGATGCTGGAGCGACTTGCTGCGCAGTCAGGCCCAGATCTGCCTGTGGCGGCTGCGGAGCACGAGGCTCTGAGCCCCACCCCGCAGCAGGCCTGTGAGAAGCTGGAGGAGGAACAGAGGGGCCTGTGGGAGGGACAGGTGGACGATCCCAAGATGCAAGGGGCCGGCCAGGAGAAGCTCCAGCAGGCCAACAGGGAGCTGGAGAAGGAGCTGCAGAATGTGGTGGAGCGCAACCAGCTGTTGGAGGATAAGCTTCAGGCCCTGCAGGCTGACTATCAAGCGCTGCAGCAGCGGGAGGCGGCCATCCAGGGCTCCCTGGCCTCCCTGCAGTCAGAGCAGGCCAGCATCCGGCACATGGGAGACCAGATGGAGGCAAGCCTCCTGGCTGTGAAGAAGGCCAAGGAGACCATGAGGGCCCATGTGGCTGAGAAGGAGGCTGCCCTGCAAAGCAAGGAGGCCGAATGCCAACAGCTGCGGGAGCAGGTGGAGCAGTGCCGGCAGCTAGCGGAGGCCCGGGCTGGGGAGGTCAGGGCGCTTGAGGACCGGTGCCGCCAGCAGACCCAGCTGATCGAGACCCTCACAGCAGACAAAAGCCAACAGGGGTTCAGCCCACCTCAAGACCACGCATCCCAGGAGCTAGCAGCCCAGCTGGCCCTGTCTCAGGCACAGCTGGAGAGCCATCAGGGGGAGGCCCAGAGACTGCAGGCTGGGGTGCTGGACCTCCAGGCCAAGCTGCAGGCAGCCCTGGGTGACCGGGAGAAGGTGCAGAGCCAGCTGAGCGTGGCCGAGGCCGCTCTGAGGGAGCACAAGGCCCTCGTGCAGCAACTGAAGGAGCAGAACAAAGCCCTCACCAGGGCCCACGTTCAGGAGCTGGTGCAGTGCTCGGAGCGTGAAGGGGCGCTGCAGGAGGAGAGGGCCGGAGAGGCCCAGCGGAGGGAGGAGCTCCAAGTAGTGTGGGAGGAGCTGTCCCAGGCAACAGGCAGCTCCGAGGAGGCGCAGCTAGAACCTGCTGAGCTGCAAGAGCAGCTGCACTGGGCCAACACGGATATGGCCGAGCTCGGCATCCAGGTCTGCGCGCTGACCGCGGAGAAAGAGCCGCTGGAGGGGGCGCTGGCCCGCGCCATGCAGGAGCTCCAGGATGCCAAAGAGGCAGCCTCCAAGGAGCGGGAGGGCCTGGAACACCAAGTGGCAGGGCTGCGGCGAGAGAAGGAGAGCTTGCAGGGGAAGCTGAAGGCAGCTGAGGAGGCAGCTGACTCACTGCCTGGCCTGCAGGCCCAGCTGGCCCAGGCCGAGCAGCAGGCCCAGAGCATCCAGGAGACTGCACGCCAGGAGCTCGACACCCTCAAGTTCCAGCTGAGCACCGAGATCATGGACTACCAGAGCAGACTTAAGGTAACCCTCACCTTGACCATCTGAGCTGCACTTGTCTCCTGCAGCAGGGCCTGGTGGGTCCATGAGTGGTTGGGATGCACCTTGGGCCAGGTGGCACTTGAGGGCCCAAGAATGTCCTGGGGGCCCAGGCCAACATGGCCTCATCCTGGTGTCATAGCTCACAGCATCCTTCTCCCTGCAGGAACATGTTAGGGATACAGCATTGGAGAGGGATGCCTTAACCCAGACGTCTAAATTTAAGGCCATTACAGACAAGTTTGGCCCACACAGAATTTTTTTTAACTTAGTAGCCAACATTTCAAGAGCAGGGTGTTTATAGATTCAGTTTTTGGACTTCTTTTGAAATCTTGGGAGTTCCTAAAGCCTGTGCTCTCATTCCTACGTGGCAGCAGTCAGCAGGAGCTGGGTGGGGACTGCCCACTTTAAGGAAGCGTGCATCCTCTGCTATTTTCCTTGTACTCGTTTATGTACTTGTTCAGCCCCTTTTGGCATGTGAGTTCCTGACTGCCTCGAGTCCTGTCCCTGGATTCTCTGTCCCTTCAGGTGCCTCCTGATAGCAGAGCAGTTGTAGGAAACCAACTCAATTCGTTTTCACAGAGCCCTTGGGATAGACAAGCTTATGAGAACAGCGTTTACCACGTGTCTTGAACTGCAGAGAAAGAGTTAAGAGTGAGGACACAGGCAGACATCTACGGGGCTTTGGCTTCTGATGTATCTGTTTGCTTCTGGGTCTGTGCATTCAGACCACTCCTGACCTCTCTCTTAGGCAACTATTGCGTTCCCACAGATGTGCCTCCCACCTTGTGTCACCCCACCCCTTACAGTTCCGTGTGGCTCATACTCCACCTTTCCTTGGCAGAAATGAAATTCTAAGTTTGGGGGCCAAGCTTAAGTCTCTTGGCTTGACGAGATTGTGTTACCAGGGAAGCCCAAAGTTTATTGAGTTTGGGAGAAAAAGAGAGAGGTAGCTTGTTTTTACCCATTTTGGGGGAGTGGGGCCGAGGGAGTCTCAGAACAAGGACCCCACTTTTCTGATCCCTTTCTCATCCTCTCCAGACCTCCAGTGAAGAATGCAGGAGCCTCAGGGGCCAGTTGGAGGAGCAAGGTCGGCAGCTACAGGCTGCCGAGGAGGCTGTGGGGAAGCTGAAGGTAAGCCTGGCCGCTGAGGCCCAGGGGAGGTGCTCCTGTGAGCCCTGAGCAGCGGCCGGCCCATCGTTCACCTGGTCATTCCACTCCCAGGTTGTGGGCCTGTCGAGGAAGGGGATGTGGCTTGGCTTTCATTGGACCATCAGAGAGGCCTCCCTGCAGGAGTTCCAGTGCCCTGGCTAAAGCTGCCGTCAGCTCACCTTTGTAGACAACCTGAGTCTGTGTCATGACTCTTCCACTCCCTGAACACCTGGCTAGAGCTGTCAAGTGTGCTTTTCACAGCCCCTGTGTCTTATGGAAAGGAAATAAGTCATCCCCCTCTGCAGATGTTCTCCAAGTCAGTGTTTCTGACGTGAGCCAGAGCAGGGGTGGGACTGAAACCCGTTTTCATGGCAGTGACTTTTTTCAGTTACTCCTGTACCCTGCCACCCCACCTCTACCCCCACCCCGGAGATTCTGATACCTGCTGCCCCACCAGCCACCACAACAGGTTGCAGCTGATGCTTGAGGGACATAATTACAAATGGGAGTCTGTCATACTCCACACACATACTAGTTCATGGTTTCTTGAACTTAAAAACAGACAAAAGCCCCTCCTGTTAGAAGTGCGCCAGCCAGATGGGGTGGGGAACATGCCAGTCACTTGATGGCATCTTGCATGGGCTTCTGCAACCGAGCGTCTTCTCCCTGCTGTCCTGTGCCAGGCTTCCCAGGCCGATGCGGCAGAGAAGCTGAGCTGTACCGGCAAGCACCTTGCTGAGTGCCAGGCCGCCATGCTGAGAAAGGATGAGGAGGGGGCCGCCCTGCGCCAAGACTTGGACAGGTTAGTTACACGGTCCACCCACGCGGCCAGTGGGAGAGTCCTCAAGGGAGGGGGTGTTTGGTACAGTCATTTAGAAAGTCAACCACTCATATCAGGTTAAAGAAGCCCTTTTGCAAGAAAAGCCACAGACTCATAAAGTGCTTATGTCAGAAGCATGCCACGGAGAACCTTGGCAATCTGCCTGTCACAAGCCTATAGAAGGCTGCAGAGACCCTTTCTCTTAATTCCATTGTCTTATCTCTAGCAGGGCATATTTCAGTTCAGTAACTTCATGCTTTGGTAAAACTAAAATGAAGTGAAAGCTGGGAGATTATCACGGTACTACTAACGGCAAACATTTAAGTAATGCCTAAAATGTGGCAGGTACCGTTTTAAATACTTGGTATTTATTTGCCCATTTAATCCTCCCAACGGTCCTGTGAGGATGGTATTATTATTTATCCCATTTCATAGATGAGGAAAACAAGGCTCAGAGGAGTGAAGTCACTTGCCCAGGGTCACACAGTGTGTAAGTGGTGATGACAGGATTGGAACTCAGAACATTTGGCTCCAGAGTCTTTGTCTCAACAACTACCCTAAAAAATATATAGACAGATAGTTTAGTGTTTTGTTTTGTTTTATTTTAGGGTACTGGTGTGAGAGTATTGTGTGTGCATGTTTTCCCTGCGTGTGTTTTGACTTGAGTTCTTCATTTCCTCTCTGAAATGAGAGGCTGCGGGGTTAGGTGTGAGGTTCTCGCAAGCTCATCTGAGAGTGAGTGAGCGAGCCAGGGAGCAGGATCGGCTTGTCTTCCTGGAGACTGTCTGGTGCTGTGTCTGTGGAGAGCACATCGTGCTGTCGCCCTTTCATCATAATGGGTTTTTTTTTTTGGTTGTTTGTTTTTGCGGTACGCGGGCCTCTCACCGTTGTGGCCTCTCCCGCCGCGGAGCACAGGCTCCGGACGCGCAGGCTCAGCGGCCATGGCTCACGGGCCCAGCCGCTCCGCGGCATGTGGTATCTTCCCGGACCGGGGCACGAACCTGCGTCCCCTGCATCGGCAGGCGGACTCTCAACTACTGCGCCTCCAGGGAAGCTCCATCATAATTTTTTTTTAACCTTAAAGTATGGCCCTACCTGTGTCCACCCCCGAGACCTCTTCATCTTCAGGCTTGGGGGCCACCCGGAGTTGTGAGCATCATCATCCCACTGTCTGGTGATGGGGCCAAACTGGAGTATTACAGGAGTAATACAGGTAATACAGTAATACAGATCCAGGAGTATTACAACAGGGGATGCTGGGACCTGATCGCATGTGTGCTCCCAGCAAAAACAGACACACCAAATTCTCCCGAGGCTTTAACTTTTCCACCCATCTCCTACCATCTGCTTCTAGGCCTGGGCCCAGGCTCAATGGGAGATCCAGACCACGCCGGATGTTTAGTAACCTCAACGTACATTTCTTCTCATCTGACTCGTCTCAGCTGACTCCTTACAGAGTTTGAATCCTATAGGACTCTGGCTTCCCTTAGCCAGGTGGTGTTCATGTGACAATTTAAGTAGAACCTCCGAAGTTGGTGGCATTCTTTTTAATGCTATAACTCTGTGTGTGTGTGTGTGTGTGTGTGTGTATGTGTGTGTGTGTGTGTGTGTGTGTACCCGAGATCATTTTGGAGGACAGTGTCTAGTAAACAACAACCTCCTGACAACTTTATACTGGACATGGAAAGGCTGGATTAGATACGGATTCATTGGTCTTGCACAGCCTCTGTTTTAATGGAGCTGTTGTGAATGCCTTGCTTTATAAGGCATCCTTGGAAAACCACTGCCTTAGGGGACAGGTGAGCTGAAAGAGAAGTAGGCAAGGGCGGGAAGACAGTGGTTCAGCCGGCCCCCCCGCTGCAGCTTGAGGCTCCGAAGCACCCAGAACAGGATTCCTTAGGCCTCAGCGTTGTCAGGTTGAACGCCTCGCAGTGTAGATTGAGTGCCTGCCGTGTGCCCCATGCCAAGCCCCACGTGTAGAGTCCCAAAGACACATGGAAGATAGACGCTTCTCTGTGTGGTCATCTCCAGGAAGCTACGCCTCTGTTCTTTCTCTCCTGGCTCCTTTTTCCTCTTGTGTGTACTGCCATCACCAGCCCATGTACTTAACCCGTTGGGCTCCTCTCAAAACCTCAGTCTCTGCCCAAGAACCAAGTGGTACAGAGTTTGACGCACGTGGGGTGCTCCTAGTGACCTGAGCTCAGCCTCCTCTCCCAAATGTCCCTTGTATTTGTCGTGAGGGGTAGTGGTGTGTGAAGAGTTTGGGTGTGTGAGGGAAGTTTCAAAGGCTTAAGAGAGTGTACAGCCTGTGAGTGGGGCCGTGCCAAGGGGCTCCCCCCATGAAGGGGAAAGCCTGGTAGGGCAGCAGGACCCCCCATTAGAGGCCTGGATTAGCCCAGAGGCACGGGGGAAGCTGGAAGTGGTGGGTAATAAGGAAAACTTACTACTCCTCCACCAGGACCCAGAAGGAACTTGAAAAAGCCACGACAAAGATCCAGGAGTATTACAACAGACTCTGCCAGGAGGCGACAGACAGGGAAAAGAATGACCAGAAGATGCTTGCTGACCTGGATGACCTGAATAGAACCAAGAAATTCCTGGAGGAGCGGCTGATAGAGCTGCTCAGGTGAGTATCAAACAAGGGGCCAGGGGCTGCCCCCAAGCTTGGCTTTTCTTTAAAGAAATGCAACTGTTCTTGAAAGGACTCTTCGAGGGAAATGGGCCCCTGTCTGCTTGTGTTCTGTTGTAAGCACCCGCACACGTGAACAGGGTCTGCTCAGGCCCTTGGCAGCCTTGCACCTGGTCCGTGTTTTCTTATTGCTATGCTGTTTTCAAAATCTCCGTGTGCTCAGCCACAAGAGTGACAATCGAAGATGTTTAATATCCTCAGGGACTTCTCTATTCCCTTGTCCCTCTCTCGTGAGCCCTTTTCTCCTTCTCTTCCGTCCCACTCTCCCCAGCACCTGGGCCCCCAAACTCCAGTGCCTGCAGGTAGCAGACAGTGATGTAAATGTGTGAACCGGGCCAGGACGGGGCTCTGAGAAACAGGAGGACATGACCTGCTCTGCTCTTGCTGACTGTTGCCCCGCAGGCATCGAGTCCAGGGTTGCCAAGTCACCTTACTTCTTAAGAGAATGTGGAAATCTGAATTTTTATGTGAAATTGGCCTGGCTTTTAAATGTTGACAACTCATTCAAAAAGTTTTGAAAGGTTTTTGTATGGAATTATTATTATTATTTTTTTTTTTGGCTGCGCCTGGCTGCTTCTGGGATCTTAGTTCCCCAACCAGGGATCAAACCCATGCCCCCTGCAGTGGAAACGCGGAGTCTTAACTACTGGACCTCCAGGAAAGTCCCGGAAATTTTCAAAAATACAAAAATAGGATAGCAAAATGCACTGCTGTGTACCTGTCACCCAGCTTCAACATTCTTCAGCTCATGACCAGTCTTGTATCATCCAAGAGTCCTACCCATTTCCCCCACCTCCTCAGATTATTTTGAAGCAAATCCCAGACATCCTGTCATTTCATCCACAAGTATTCTGATACATACCTCTCCAACACAAGGCCTCTATTTTAAACAACCACAGCATCATTACCGCGTTTGAAAATTAACTAATTCCCAATATCATCAAGTGTCTAGTCTAGTTTGAAATTTTTCTAATTGCTTTATAGGTTTTTCTAATTAGGATCTATATTAGATCTATACATTGCATGGTGATATGTTTCTTAGATCTCTCTTACTTAGTCATGGTTCCCCCACCATCTCACTCTCTTTTTTTTTCCTTTGCAGTTTACTTTTAAAGAAAGCAGGCCATTCATCTGGTAGAGTTTCCCATAGCCTGGACTTTGCTGATTGCATGCCCATGGTGTCATTTAACATGTTCTTCCATCCTCTGTGTTTCCTATAGCCCCGAAAGTTAACAGCAGTTTTAAGGAAGGCTTTATACACATCTTCCCTGGTGCATCAGGCACATGCAGGTGCTGCCAGAGCCTCCTGAAAAGCCTGCCACTTTTTTCAGTGTGTTTGCTTCCTGTAGTGGCTGTGCTGTCTCTCTAAGGAGTGGAGGAGGTCAACATCCCATCGGATTTTCAGGCTGGAAAAGCTTGGCTCTCCTCCATTAATTGTTACTTAAACCATAAAAACATGAAGGATCCCGAGCACATTTAAGATTTGGGTTTTTGGGCTCACAGCACACAGACAGTCATGTAATCATGGCAGCACGTGACAGCTTAAACTCCCATTGGCCACGTGCACCGTCATTTAGACATCTGAGCAGCTGGTGGCCCTTGTCAGTGCCAGCAGGTCTTTGCAGTTGCCAGAGCCTTTTATGGACATCACAGACCCCCCTGTACCTTCACACAGTGTGGTGTCAGATGAGGACTTAACACGTTGGGAGGCTCCTGCTGAGTCTGGGACTGGTGTGGGGTGACAGAGGAGACCTAGACTTGGGGTTTATTTCCAAGGTAAAAGTGAATTCTCCTTGTGTTTTGGGAAATTCGGAAGCAGTCTTTTGAAATGAACCAGAGATAATTCTATTGTTTTCATGGATTCTTTCTTCAATTTTTCTAATGCGGCTTTTTCCCAGGGACAAGGATGCTCTCTGGCAGAAGTCAGACGCCCTGGAATTCCAACAGAAGCTCAGTGCTGAGGAGAGGTGGCTGGGGGACACGGAGGCGAACTACTGCTTTGACTGCAAGCGGGAGTTCAGCTGGATGGTGCGGCGGCACCACTGCAGGTCAGCAGGCGGCCTGCGGGCAGGGCCCAGCACTAGGGCAGACGCCTCTGAACGAGGACTCCGTGGCAGGCGTTGGCACCGCAGCCAACTGTCTAGGAAGAGCACGTTGCCTCTTAGTTTTGAGGGAACCAGTTGAGGAGGGTATGTTAGGCAGGGTCTCAGCAGGACACTCGGGGATCCCCGAAAGGGAAGAGAGTTTAATACAGGGGGTGTAGGCAGAGTTAAGGGGACCCACAGGGATGTAGAGCACCCAGAGACCCAACCTCTGGCCCTCTCTTGGCCTGCAGGGGTCAGAGGGGAAATGAAACCCAGAGAGAGCAGGGGCTGAGGCTTCACCAGAGGAACACAGAGCAGAGACCCCCCCACACCCCCCAGGGCCCAAAGAAGGGCAGGCAGGAATGAATCTTGAGTTGGGGTGCGGACAGATGGAGAACGGTCAGCACAGGGGGATGGGGTCTGTGGTCTCTTAGAGCCCAGCCCCCGAGGCCTAGAATGCACACCTGCATCGTTGCGTTAGGGAAGGGGGCTCGGCCTGCCTCCCAGGACCCTGGAAGTAAACGTGTCTCCCATCAGGCTTACCAAGATGGCTTTTTTGGAATCTTATGAGATAGGCCTTCAGGCCCCACTCTAGAGTGGGGGCAGAGCCAGGTCTGACGAGCCATGTGGCGTCCAGAGCCCAGAACAGAGCCCGGTTCCGGTCCCAAGCAGGTCACTCGAGACCTCTAGTGCAGCGTCCTCAGGGCCCGTGCCTGTGTCGTCCCCAGGATATGCGGCCACATCTTCTGTTACTACTGCTGCAACAACTACGCTGTGAGCAAGCACAGCGGCAAGAAGGAGCGCTGCTGCCAGGCCTGCTTCCAGAAGCTGAGCGAGGGCCCCGAGTCCCCCGACAGCACCAGCTCGGGCACCAGCCAGGGAGAGCCCAGCCCCGCCCGGTCACCAGCCCAGGCCGCACCCCAGGCCACCGGAGGCCAAGGTCAGGCTCCGCCACTGCCCTCCGTGTTCTCCAGTTGCCACCCTCACCGCTACCCCACTGTGGCTGCTTAGCTGGAACATGTGTAGTTCAGTGTTTTCCAAACTTAGGCACTAAAAAGGTAGTACCACCAATCTGAGACTTTCTTTTTGATGTAATTAGGATTGAAGGAGAATTGAAAAGGGAATAACTTTCTCCTGATATGATTCAGTGTTATTTAACGTGATGTCTGTTTACTTCTCAACTCACACCACCAGTGGACCCACAGCGTTGGAAAACGCTGTCTCCCAGGGCCCCAGCCCTCTCTTTCAGGGTAACCAAAGGCCAGGAGTTGAGTGTGGAAACGAGCACATCCTTCCCTGTCTCCCTGTAGCTCACATTCTCTCTCGGCGGCCAAGAAGGATATATTCTCCTTCATGTCCTCTCACTCAGCTCAGTAAAAGGAAGCGGGATTTGGTTCCTGCTCAGCACAGCCTCGCAGACCAGCCCAGGCTGCCCTCTCAGGGCTGGACTGTGGGTGTCTGTTCTAAAGCACGGCCTGTACCAGGAGCCATGCGGCAGGGCCTGCTGGGAACTTCCCATGAACTGTTCTTCTTGCTGAATCTTCCCCTCGCCTGGCTCACTAGTGGGTGTTCCAGTGACGACAGAGGGTGGCATGGTGCCAGCATGCTGAGGTTGCTTGTTTTGCTTTCTGACATTTCCTGTCTCCTCCTCTGTCTGTCTGTCTTACTTTCTGTCTTTTCTTCTTTCGTCTCAGGCCTGCCATCACATTTTCCATCACATGCAAGAGACTGCTTGTTGGCGGGGTGGGGGGTGACTAGCACAGCAGCATCGCACAGCATCCTTCCTACTGGGTAGCCTGCAAAGTTGGGCACAAGTACCCTGGTCAGAAGCACAATGGCTGCTGTGCAGAGGGAGGTTCTTTTCCACCCCTCAGTGGATTGAGGTGAAAATGCAGGTCAGACAGAATCCTCCTCTCAAAGAGGCATGAGTGAGGTCTGTGTCTGCTGGAGCAAGGATTCAGCAGCACAGAAGTATGATTACCTTTTTGTTAGGTTCTTTCCTGATAAGGTTTTGATAGGTTTTTTTCCTTCTAAATAAAGGGCCTCAGAGAACATGTAAGAGCTTAAAACCTCTCCACACCACTGCCTAAGGGACTTCAGAGAAATCTCTTACATGGTGCATTCAGTTTCATCTGTAGTCCCTTCATCTGCTTTTCTGGAACATCCCAAGAGCCATTTCTCTCCATCTGGACAGAGTAGCTGTCGGTTGAGTGAGCACTTAGAGTGTGTCCTGGTGGCTCGTCCCATGTAGCTACACTCCCTCCCCGTACTGTCCATGACTGCATTTCTCTTCTCTCCCGACCTTCCTCTGCACCCCAGGTGCTAACACAGACTGCCGGCCGCCAGACGATGCCGTGTTTGACATCATCACAGATGAGGAGTTGTGCCAGATACAGGAGTCCGGCTCCTCCTTGCCTGAAACACCCACCGAAACTGATTCTCTTGACCCAAACGTGGCTGAACAGTGAGTAGACATCACCTCCATTTCCTGAGTGCCCATTAAGTGCACTTATCAAAGGATTAGTTTCTTATCAAAGGATTAGGAAAGCTTGGAAGCAAGATTGGCTGTCTTTGCTTAAAGGAAGGTGCCTGCGAACAGTGCTCGGGGCAGGGTGCCCTTGAGGAGCACCAGGACTCGAGGAGTAGTCAGTGTTGAGCCTTGTCAGAGGGTTCCTGGGCGTGTCTGTCAGCGGTCCCCCTGATTTCAGCATCTCCAGGAAGGCCTTTCTGGGCTTAGGCAACTGTATTAATCTGCTCAGGCCGCCATAACAAAGTACCATAGACCAGGTGACTTAAACAACAGAAATCTATTTTCTCGCAGTCCTGGGAGTGCAAGGCCAAGGCAGGTTTGGTTTCCTGAGGCCTCTCCTTGGCTTGCGGACAGCTGCTGTCTTCCTGTCTCTTCACATGGTCATGCCCGCTATGCATGTGCCACCCATGTCTCTCTGTGTTCTAATCTTTTCTTCTTATAAGGACACCAGCCAGGGTGGATTAGGGCTCGCCTTATTGGCCTCATTTTAACTAACTTACTTCTTTTAGGTCTTGTCTCCAAAAACAGTCACATTCTGAAATACTGGGCGTTAAGACATCCACGTATGAATTTAAGGGGGGGACACAATTCAGCCCACGAGAGCAGCGTTTGCTGGGCTGCTGTAGCCGTGCTCAGAGTAACGCGCTGCTCTTTAAAAACCGTGTTCACCTTTTGGAACCACTCGTCAGGCTTGGTAATGGTGCCACAAGCTTAATTTCTGTTGTCTCAAGTAGACATTTCTCTCAGAAGTCCTCTTTTTTTTTTTTGGCTGCGCCATGCAGCATACAGGATCTTAGTTCCCTAAGCAGGGATCGAACCCGTGCCCCCTGCAGTGGAAGTGGGGAGTCGTAACCACTGGACTGCCAGGGATGTCCACCCCAAAGTTCTAAAAGCAATAAAAACATAACCAAGTTTGTTACCCGGTGCTTTCCCCTCCCCCATCCCGTGCCTGCCCCACCACCAGTATCTTGTGCTGCTCTTAATCAGTGACCCAGACCCACCAAATGTTCCTGATGCCGCAGGTGGACAGCATCAGGCACAGGGGTGTCCTTTAGTACCGGCTCTCCATTGGCCCTGTCATTTTTCTGGGCCGGCTCTTTTCCAACAGGGCCTGTGAGGAGAGTTCTGCAATGGCTAGTTTCTAAATATATGAAGTAACTGCACAAAGTGCTGTTGTATTAAAGTGTCAAGAGCTTAAGCCAGGGGACCCTTGGGAAAAGTCAAGTTCCCCTACATGGCAGCCTTGCTCGGTGTTTCTCAGCCCCTGGGGTCTGGCTTAACTGCAGTTCCTACAGCAAAGCACTGCCTGTTTAGAAGCTCAAGGGAGAATTGACTTGGCTCCTGTGTCCAGACGTTCGTTGACTCACTTTCCATCCAGTTAGGGAGTTTTGTGATGCTCTTGCCGACTTGTATTGAGACCTCTGTTCCTCTATTCCTGCCCAGAGTTCAGAGGAAGGGCTGTCAGATTTATCATCCAGGATTTCTGCTGCATGGGAGGAGATGCACTTAATCTTCGGAAGGTTCTCAGCACAGGAGATTTTAGGCTCAAGTGTATGTCTCCATACTCTTCTGTTCTCTTGCTTGAAGGTGACTGACCTTGCCTCATGGATAAAGCCAGCCCATCACCCAACCCAAGAAAGCCTCAGCTCACTGTGACCATGGGCCCTTTCTTTTCCTTCTGAAGCCTTTCCTGGCTGCGTGAGCCTGCAGCGTTCTCCCCAACCCCCATGGTTCAGTGGTCCCCAGGGCATGTTCTCTTGCATTTGCAATAAGCCATACTCATGCCGTCGTCACCTGGCAACTCTTCACTGACTGTGCCTCAACTGCTGGCCAGGTGGGTAGGTGGGTTGGGGGTCCGGGGAGCAGGACCGGAAGCTCAGGGCCTGGGAGGATGACCTTGGGCTGTCACCTGCATGAGGAAGTGCCGCGCTGCAGCTCCCTCTTCCCTTCACCTTTCGCCTTCCCCTTTCTCAGTAGGAGCAAAAGCAGAAGGTCTTCTGACTGCTGACAAATAAGTGTGTTTTGGGTCATGGGGAATCAGGAAGCGGTCCAAGGAAAGGAAACTGCCAGCGTGCTGGCCTGCGGCCTGCGGAGGAGATCCAGGGCTAATGCATGGGCCTGCAGTCCCCATGCGTCCTCTGTTTGGGTGAAGGGCCAGCCCTCCAAGTCATTTCAGGGCCTGCCTTGTCTCACACCTTCCTTGTGAGTTAGCCAGAGACGGACCCCCGTGTCTCTGGTGGCTTTTTCTTATGTTCTTTTTCTTCCTAAGCTTAGGACCAATCAAAACCACCAGGAGTCTGAGGAGCTCTGACGGGTTTGGTGGGGTGGGGGGTGTGAGAGGTTGGTATAGAGCCTGGGTTTGTGTGTGCATCCCTGCCAAGACACTGAGAGAAAGAAATCAGCAAGTCCAAAGGAAGAAGTGGTCCAGGAGGGGTCAAAGGCTGTGAAAGCCCTGATGTGGGGGGAAGGAGGCTGCCTGGAGGCAGTGTCTGTCGAGCACTTTCCCTGTGTAGCAGCTTTTGCACGTGACGTCAATTAGTCCCTGCCCAACCCTTCAAAGAGTAGGGATTATGGTCCCCATTTTACAGGTCAAGGTACTGAAGCTCAGGAGGCCAGGTAACTTGCTCAGGGTCAGGGGGCTGTAAGTGTCAGCATTAAGCTTTGTGCCCAGAACCCCTCCCTCCAGTCCACAGGCCCGAGATTCATTTTGAAGAGTACAGCCCTCTCCTCCTGGTCCCGTTTCCCTATCTTCACATCAAGCACCTGCCCACCTTCCCTCCCTCTTTGTCCACTCCTACCCCCCCACACACACACATTCTCAGGACAAACACAGTTGTCTGCCTTGGCCCTCCTGGCCGTGATGGGACAGGAACAGGTCCCAGAATCCAGCTCTCGGGGAGAGCCGGCAGGATCCCGCAGATCCCTAGGCAGCCTCCCAGAGGCCCCTGCACGTGGCTCAGGAGCACAGCCCACCTCAGGTGGAGGGGAGATATTCTCCAGAGCCCTGCAGCTGTGCACACCCCTCCCAACTGTGACCCAGGCCCACCCTCAGCCGTCTCCCTGACCAGGTGCCCAGCTCTTCTCAGGACCGAGGCAGGCAGAGGAGGAAAGAAACTCTGTCCTCCAGCAACAGGCCTGGCCTTGGGTCCCTTGGCCTCTGCTCTGCTTCCAGCAGCCATTCCCTCCTCCAGGCCCGGCCTCCCTTCTCAAGCAGACTGTGCCCATGAAGAACTTGAGGTCCAGAGTCAGACACTCCTGGTCTGCTGCCTCCAGGCTCCCTGGCTTTGAGCACCACAGGCCCCAAACTCAGTTCCCTCCCTCGCACAGAAGAGACAGGGACGGCACCTCTAGGGTTGTTGGAGGGTCAGATGGAAATGATGTGGAAAGCCTTCCATGGAATTGCGTGGTTTTGGTGATGTTTCCCCTGAGCTGTGAGGTCAAGGGCCACACTGTGATGTCTACTGCCACGGGCCCTGGTTCCTTACATCTTGTAGCTCAGTTGTGTTCGCCAGCGAAAATCCCACCGGATGCCCAGATGATACTGAGCTCAAACTCACGCACGGAGACTGTCCCTGACCCACAGAGCATCTCTGCTGGTACTTGCTTTAGAACAAGTGCTCTGTGGTCAGAGTGCTTCGGGGATCTGTGGCAGGTTTATCACCAGCCAGGAGATACGATACCTGGTATCTCAAACCGAGAACAGGATACGGTGATGACAGTTAAGGTTAGAAAGCCACCTTGTGCTTGGGTTAACCTAGCATCTCCGCCTTCAGACAAGTACAGAGTTGTCAGGTACCCCGGGCCATCTTAGCCAACGTTTGGGGGAAGAGAAAGAGGTTATTCACCGGGGTTCCAGCCCTAGCTCTGCTGTGTGAGCTTTGGCAGGTAGTAATGTCTCTGAACTAGTTTCCTCATCTGGAAAACGGGGATGATAGTACCAGGTGTCCTACCAAACGGCATTGGGAGTTACTGTGGACCACAAAGGACTGGGCCTGTGGAAGGGGTGCTGCGCTGAGAGAACGAGGCGACAGCCAGCGCCCCGGCCACTCCTGGGCCCTGTGCTCTTTGCTCCGCCTCCACCCCTTCAGTACGGGCAGCTTCTGTGTTTTCTCTCCTGCAGCACCATTTCCTCAGTCCAGAATGCTCACTGAGAATCCCGGGCTTCTGGCTCCAGGTAGCCCCCGGAATCAGGTTCACCCTGTGTTCACCACATCTCAGACGGTGTGGCCGTCATGGTCTCTAACCGCCCCGCCCCCGGCCTGTAAGTGCAGGGAACCTGGTCGGGGAGGAGACCCTGAGGCCGCACGTGAGGCCAACTGGACTCACCCAGGGTCCACACCCAGCCTGACCCCCTCCCGCCAGTTTCCCCCACACCCCAGGCTGCTTACGTCAAGCACTGGTGCGTGGGAGCAGAGGGGAGAGCAAGGGGAGAAGGGCGGGGCTGAGCTTGTGCTCCATGGGGCTGTCCCGTGGATGAGTGAAGTCGAGAGTGAAAGCCTTGTTTGGGCTGTGCCCGTGTCTGTTGCCCATAATGGTGTGTACCCAGGAGGGGGTTGGGAAAAAGATCTCTACTCCCAAGTGTGAGCAGGTGAGGGCCCAGAGAGTAGGGCCAATGAGTGACTGGGGAGGCAGAGAAGGTGAAAGAAGATTCAGCTGCTGTGCTTTTCCTCAGGACAGGCAGGCAGGTTCTCCTAAGCTGTGGAAGGGCCAGTGCAAAACCTTTTTGCAAGGAGGCTGGAGAGAGGGCATATAATAGGCCTGGGATGGGGCACGGCCTGATGGGTGCCTGGTCTCCTTTGACTCAGCCAGGCAGGCACCGTTCAACAACAGTGGTCCCAACAGCCGCCCCTCTGTTGCCGTGACCAGCAGCCCCCAGCGTGGCTTGGAGTGCACTGTCCGTGCCTCACAGCGCTCCTGGAAGGAGGGCCGTTGTCAGCTTGGGGTGTGGATGGTGAAATGGGCTTGAGGAGGCTGCGGCGTTTGTCCCAGGATGGACAGATGTGGAGCTCTCTCCGGGGCAGTGACTGAGTCACCCCAGAGCCCTGCTTTTCCCATCCCACCACACTGCTTTCCTCCGTGGGGACACATGGAGAGGCCGCAGGGCCCCTGGCTCCCCAACTCTTCACTCCCTCCTTCCCAGTTAGGGCCTCTGCCTCTTGTTTTGGGACATTGTTGGGGAGGCCAGGGGCTCGTGGTCCCTCTACCAGAAGTGCTTGACATTAAGGTGACAGCACAGAGGAGGGTGACCAAAACTCCCCCTCTGAAGCCAACGTAAACAAGTTGAAAGTCAGCCTTGTCACCACGAAAAGGGCAGGTTTTGGTGTTCGAGGAGCGCTGGGTAGTCCATGCGGCCTGAGCACAGTAAAGCCGCTCTCCCCGTGGGTGCATTTAGGCACGTGTATGAAACGGTCAGTGGCCCTGTGGGCCCTGCAAGGCCGGCCTGTGCGCAGCTGGACTGTGCTGTGCGCCTCTGGAAGGCACGAAGCCGACCCTGCCCCGCCCTGCCAGTGCACAGAGAAAGGCAGGCGGCTCACGTTTTGTGTGGCTGGTTCTTGAGAGAATAACAACTACCGCCATTTTGGGGACCTTCCTCCCACAAATGCAAACCGTGCTAAGTGTTTGTGTGCACCCTCTCCAGTCCTCACACGCCTGCCCTGAGAGATGGTACTGTTATGGTCTACGTTTCACCAAAGCGGAAATGATTAAGAGATTACCAGCTGGTCTTACCCACTCGTGACTCGGGTGTGTCCAAGCTGCGAAACCTCACTGTTCGGCCCTTTCTGGCCCACCTCCCTGAGCGCTCTTAGCTGTTGTCAACAGGTTCTCCATATTTCAGTGAGTGATTTTGTGACATGTGAGCCAAAAAGGCCACTCTTAAGCCTGTTGAGCAGGTTGCTGGGATCTAATAAACATGCTAAAACTCTGCCTCATTCCGTGACCACATCTCAGAGGTAACAAACGCACCCCTCGTTCTGGGCAGGAGGTTGAAGCCACAGTTGTTATCATTGGTGTATTGATAGAGCAGTGCCCTGAAAGTTGACAGTTTTAACTTATTTCCTGTGCTCTGAGCCCACAAGTGATCACTTTTGGTATATTCAGGAATACCACAGTAAGGTGGAATGTGCCTAAGGATAAAAGTAGTTTGGAGACTTTCAAAAAGTTTTATTTCTCAGTCATGAAAATCATGCTGTTTGAGATGTGTGTGTGTGTATTACACGTACATTCCTATATGATGTGTGTGTGTGTGAGGCACGGGATAAATGCAGGTTTTAAATGAGCAGACCCACCGAAGATCCATTGCAGAGGCGCTGCTTAGACTCACGGTAGTCTTAGACTCAGCTTTGCACATTCTTCTGGCATTCTGTGGCCCGCTGGAATCCTCAGCCGACCCTCATTTGCTTTGGCCCGTTCATATTCCCTGGTGCTAGCCCTTCCAGGATTAATCAAAGAGAACATAAAGCACCTATCTATATAAAACCAAACCCACAAGGCGTGGCAGAACCTGAGCTCATTTCTGTTGGGTGCCTGGTGATGGAGGTCTGAGTCACAGTGTCAGCACTGGTTTTCATGGCTGCTTTAATCTCCCCTGCTTCCCAATCGGCAGAAGAATCTTCTGAACTTGGGAGCCCGGAGTGTCACCTGCCATCAAGACCTTTGTTGGCCCGGTCCCCCTGTTCAACCCTTAGTCCCATTCCCATTCCCACTGAAGGAGAACCTGGGGTCTGGAGAATCACACGTCATTCCCTGGTGTCAGTATTCTCGGGGTAGAGGAAGGAAAGCTCTGGCAGCTTTCAGCCTCCCCTTTGAGCTTTAGGCCTGGGTGTAAAAGAAGAGGGCACAGTCTGCGCATGCCTGAGAAGAAACATCCCACCCCAGCTGCACTGTTTGATAACTTCTCCTTGAGAATGCCCATGCTATACACAAAGCCTTAGAGGACACAGCCATGGTCCTGTGACTTCTGAGCAGCCTCTCCAAGCTCAGCAAGGCCTACAGCTGGAACATGCTGGTCGCCTCCATGTTGCGAGAGGCTGAAGCAGTCCTGGAAGTGTCCTCTGAACACTTCCGTTGGCTTGAGACATCCAGGAAAGGGAGGCAGCCAGCGTCTTTCACAAGTTTCCAGAAGTTCTTCCGAAACTTCAGGCCAACAAAGGCATAGAGCACAGGATTAAGGCAGGCACGCAGGTAGGCGATGGCCTCTGTCACTGTGATGGCATAGTGAAAGCTAGTCATCGCGTGGTACTCCCAGCTCACGCTGCGGATGAGCTTCACGAGGTTGAAGGGCGTCTGGGTCAGCAGGAACACCGCCACCACCAGGAAGATGATCTTCAGAGACTTGTGCTTCTGGAAGCCTCGGGCCTGAAGCAGTGTCTTGATTATGACTGAGTAGCAGACAATCATGGCAAGCAATGGCAGGAAGAACCCCAGTGTCATCTGGGTGGCCAGAACCATGGTGGAAATCTCCTCGTTGTGATAGCCGCAGACAGGCTTGTCAAGGTAAAGGACGTTGCCATAGATGATCTGCGGCAAGGAAACCAGCAGGGAAACTACCCAGATGGACAAGCAGACGGCCTTACCCCAGGCCATCCGCTTGGCCTGCTGGTTATAGGCCTTGGTGGCCTGAACCACTGCAATGAAGCGGTCCATGGTGATGCAGGTGAGGATGAGCATGGACGTGTAGAAGTTCAAAGTGTAGATGCCCAGCAGGGTTTTGCACATGACTTTGCCAAAGACCCACTCGTGGAAGCCTGCATAGGCCCAGAAGGGCAGAGTACAGACGAACACCAGGTCAGCCAAGGGCAGGTTCATTAGGAACACGTCCGTCAGGCTCTTCAGCTTCTGGTAGAAGATGTATATGACCAGCACCAGGGAGTTCCCCACCAGGCCACAGATGAACACCACCACATACATGCAGGGCAGGAACAACTTGCTGAACTGCAGGAAGTGTTCGTGCCCCTGGCTGCTGTCATTGGAAGCGTTGAAGAACCCGAGGTCTTCGTAGTCGTACTCGGCCATGGTGTCTGTTCTGATGGACCCCTGGGAGTCAAACCACAGGAATTATATATATTTGGGGCTGAGGGTGATCCCTTCTGTCTTCCCATTGCCCACAGTTAGGGGGCAGATAGTCACCTCCTAAACCCACCCACTGTTCTGCTCAGTAACAGCCCAGTATATTGGGGACAACCAGTTCTGAGGGGAAACTGCTCAGACAGGACGAGGAACCCTTCACTGGCCCTAAAGTTCTCAGGATCTCACCTGTCTGGGAGACAACACATAACTGACCCCACCCACATTCCATAAAATCCTGTGCTCAATGGCCTTGGAAGCAAAGGTCACCACGTGGTGAACTGAGGACTGTGTCCTTTTGGAAGAGCGGCGCTGCTCTTCAGTGGGGAGGGCTGTATTCATCTGCCCATGCCTCGCAGAAGGTGCCCACCTAGCCTGTGCCCCATCTTCTGTTAAGTTGACCCCTGGACTACGAATTGTGAAAGCTAAGGCAATATCCCCCTTCCTGGGGGTCCACCATCAAGGAGACTCCTGGAGACCAAGAGGTGTTTGGTCCTTTCTGCCTAGATGGGCCATCCATCCTGCCTCATCTTACCGTGATGGGGAGCCAGGGCAGGGAAGAGCCCAGGCTGCCCAGTGCTTTGGCCGAGCGGCTTTCTGACCAGGGAACTGGGCAGTTTTCCTCACGCCCAACCCCAGCTTTCCCCTTCATCTGTCACAGTGTATGACATTCCACCCTCAGGGCCTCTTTGATCTTCAGGAATCTCTTACAAGGTAGATTCCCCCAGAAGGGAACATTGCTTTAGCTTTTATGACCAGCAGTGTAGGGCTGAGGGGTCTCCTTTAACACACGGAAGAGCTGATTGAAATGGGACGTCAGGAGGGTGGGCTACCACAGCAGGGCTCGTGGCCAGCCTTGCAGTGGGACTACTTATAGCAAAGACCAAATAGCTATCTTTCTTGCCTGGGGGTCCCAGCCCTTCAAGGTTATCGCTTCCCTCTGACCCTTCTCTGGGCCCTGTGACTCTGCTGGGGACCATGGACCAGACACGGGTGATATAATCTGTGGTGTGGGAGTAGGGGCAACTGCGGCAGCATCGGCCTTGGAGGGCCAGGTCAGTCCCTGCCACTGTCTTGGAGGTACTCAATACGCAGGGACTCTTCCAGTGAGCGGTGCCGTATCCCACTGGCACCTCAAGGAAATGTTTAAGAAGAGCAGGCATTTGGTTTAGCAAAGTCAGAATATCAACCGGCCAGACAAGGGGGTGTAAAAGGAGAGATGATCTTTCCTTTCTGGTCTCCTCGGAGACTTTTCTTTTCCTGATGCTGGGTCCTGACAGGAAGGGATTTCAGCCCTGCTGCCACCTTGGTATTTCATGGGCTCAAAGCACCCTTTCTCTCCAAGGAAGAACCTTGTCTTTGGGCTAAGACTACTCAGTGAAAAGTCCCTCCTCCTGGACCACAAAATGTTGGATCTCTAAGAGTGAAAGGCCAACCCATGGGCATTATGCCCCACCAGCTCTGGGCTGCTAGGTTAAGTGGGTCAGACGATGCTCTGTAGGTGTTACTGCTTCACATGGGGACAAAAATATATTCTTCATCATTTAGAATGTGACATTAAAAGTAATGTCAGATCTCCATTATTGTTTGACTTACTCTTGGCCTTTAAAAAAAATTCTCCTGGGACTTCCCTGGTGGCGCGGTGGTTAAGAATCCTCCTGCCAATACAGGGGGCACGGGTTTGATCCCTGGTCTGGGAAGATCCCACATGCCGCAGAGCGACTAAGCCTGTGTGCCACAACTGCTGAGCCTGTGCTCTAAAGCCTGCGAGCCACAACTACTGAGCACACATGCCACAACTTCTGAAGCCCGCGTGCCCTAGAGACTGTGCTCCGCAACAAGAGAAGCCACCGCAAGCAATGAGAAGCCCACACACCACAACAAAGAGTAGCACCCGCTCGCCACAACTACGGAAAGCCCACGCAGCAACGAAGAGAGCCAAAAATAAATAACTAAATGAATGAATTAATTAATTAATAATTCTCCTACTAAGGCTGTTGCTGCATCCTTAGGCTGGCATTGCAGTTTCTTCAGATGACCCATGCAAATTCATTTGTAATAATTGGTAAACTAAACAGTGTTTAACAGGTTGGGACTGCACAGTTCTGTGCAGATAGAGTGTTAAAAATTACTTTCCCTTCTAGAAATATTAAAACCATTTGTTTCTTTATTTTCTCTAACCAAAGTCCTATGTTGATTTGTGAAAATTAAAAAGAAAGTAATATATACAACTTTGGAAATAGTGTCTGATAATAAATAAGCAAAGTATAATTTAGGCATAAAACAGAATATGACTGAAATGTTTAGGAAGTGCCTTTAATGATTTTGGAAAATGCAATACATTTAAAAATTTTTTTATTGGAGTATGGTTGATTGACAACGTTGTGTTAGTTTCAGGTGTACAGCAAAGTGAATCAGTTATATGTATATAACTGATATATATATATAAGTGACATATATATATATATATATATATACTCTTTTTTTTAGATTCTTTTCCCATACAGCTCATTACAGTATCGAGTAGAGTTCCCTGTGCTATACAGCAGGTTTTTATTAGTTATCTGTTTTACATATAGTAGTGTGTATATGCCAATCCCAATCTCCCAATTTATCCTTTCCCCCCCCCCCCCCCCAATATGCAATGTAATATTGGCTGTTACCATTACAACGAATAGATGACAAAGTGAATGTAAAATTGATCATGATTCTCGGCCTTCTTTGATCATAAACCCCTTTGAGAGTCTTATTAAAGCTGTAGCTCTTTTCCCTCAGTAATAATGTACAAGCATGCCTGCAACTCTGGGCGTTCATGAACTCTTTAAATCCCTCTGCCCCATATTCTATAGACTTTGTTTACAAATCTGTGATAAGCTATATGTTTTTTTTTTTTGTTTTTTTTTTTTTTCGGTACGCGGGCCTCTCACTGTTGTGGCCTCTCCCGTTGCGGAGCACAGGCTCTGGACACGCAGGCTCAGCGGCCATGGCTCATGGGCCTAGCCGCTCCACGGCATGTGGGATCTTCCCGGACCGGGACACGAACCCGTGTCCCCTGCATCAGCAGGCGGACTCTCAACCACTGTGCCACCAGGGAATCCCAAGCTATATGATTTTGACTATATTTTTTAAAACATAGAAAAATGATCAGATTTTATCAGCAGTTCACCCCTGGCTGGTAGAATTAGGGGTGACTTATTTCCATTCCTCCTTTATATTTTTCTGTATTTTCTGAAGTTGCTACAGTTGTATATTGACATATATGGAGAAAAGAAAGTAAACCATAATCTAAGATAACAGCCTGTCTTATAAAATGGAAAAGAAAAACAGAAAAAGAGATTAGTCAATGAACACACACAGTGACTAGACTCTCCTTATCTCCTGGGGAGGGTCTAATTATGCCATTACTATCAGCATCATCTTACAAGCATCACCTTACAGAACGAGGTTGTCATAATCCTCTCCTCGGACCCTCATGGCAGCAAATAGCAGAGATGGAGTTTGAGCCAAGGACAGTTGAGCTTGAAAGCCTGGGCATTTGACACCATACCGTGCTGCAGGCAGGACTCTGAGAATCCCGACAACCTGGAGTTAGCTCCTCTTTTAACTATGAAGAAGACCAATGACTCACCAGTAGAGATGCTCTTTCAGTTTGTTCCTGAGATGAGGTTGCTCACAGCAGCAAGGTCGGCCTCTGCCTCTCTGATGTGGTCCGTTTCCGTTGAGTAATTTTTAAGAGCCCTCGGTTGGTGATTATAGGAGACCCAGCCCTTTCCAATCTTGCAGATCAGAATCCACATGACCAGCCTGCACCCACGTAATTTGGCAGTCAAAGAGACGAAGCAGTGGCTCTGATGCTGCACACCCCCTGCAACCTGGCTGGGGTCTTACTCTTTTGCCAGGATCCAAGAGGGTTTTAATTAGTAAACTGAAGGGGAGCGATATGCAGTGTCTGGTAGTCCACTGAAGATGGTGGCATTTGTACCCTAAAATTATTTCATTCACTAGTCGTATGTCTCTTTGGGGTAGTTTGGGTCTGGACCAATGCAAAGTCGATGCTATGGCCTGGGTTCCCTGTGTGCCTGCAGCTCCAGTATACGTGACAGCCCTGATTCTCATACCAGTCCTGCAAGTAGGTATTACACCATTTTATAGATGAGAATACAGAGGACTGTAGCCAAAGAACAGCCCCACGGACTCACAGCTAATAACTGCCACTTCCAGGATACGAACCCGGGTCTCCATCATTGCCAGACCAGTGGACCAAATGGCTTCTAGATGATGGGTCTGCCAGAGGGCCAGACACAGCCCTTCCTCCTAAACCCACACCACTCAGACAGTGCTCACCGCTCTGCTTGTCCAGACTAGAATCAACAGTGAACAGGCTGAACCAAATAGTGCAGGTCAAAGCACCCATCTTTCTGAAAGAAATCTTCTGAGACAAGACATTCCTTCACAGTGAGCCAGTCTGACATCTTGGAATCTTTAAGCTTTGAGAGATGAGTTTTTCCCAGAGACAAACGAACCGTGTCACTTAGGACCAGTTCACAGGGTGATGTTAGAAGGGGCTGAACCTTATCAGACACAGTGGCTCAGCCATGGTCGTCCCTCTCAGCAATCGCTTTCCCTCCATGGGGAAGAACAGGCCTCAGCCCGGTGCCCTCCGTGACCACATATATGCTTGGGAAGGAGGGGTGATGTGTACCTTAGAGAGAGCGTGACCATACTTGTCATAACCATTCTCCAGTGGAAAGTTCTCCGATGGAAAACTTGCAACTAAATTACATGATAAGAGCCCCTCACAATTTGGGGGTCAGAATTTTATTTCAACCACTTTACAAAATGCCTTCTGTTGTCTTCCGATTTGTAGTGCTCATTGCTTTTCTTTGAAACAAAACTCTGAACTTCTTAAGGGCAAATACCCAACCATATGTCTTGGGTTTTTCCCAGAATATGTAAACATTTCCGAAACAGAATCGGGGGAGAGTAAAAGTGCTGTGGCAGCCGTGCCCCCTGCAGATTCTCAGAAGTCAGACTGTGTTGACCTGCTTCCTTTTTCTGAACACCTGACATTCTGGAGCCAGGGCCCTGCGTAGGACGGCAGTTCAGGACGCAGGGATGAGGCAGTTGCTGCTGGTAGAGGAGTAACTGCCAGGCGGTGGTGGGTGGCGGCGGCTGTGGAGGATGAGTTGGAAAAACCCTCAGAAAAGCAGCCTAACCAGAGGGCAGCAGGCGGCAGGCCAGTTGTCAGGATGGGCATGTGGGTCTGAGTGTTTTGGTCAGCCCATAGTTACCAAGTAATCAGAAATCAACACCAGAAGCGATCTTCTTCACTTGGTTTTTAGGCAGAAAGGAAAACAATGACTACAAGAAAAACTACTAGGAATTTAACAGTAAAATAGAAAGATGCACCCAAGCCCCGCAGTGAATGTGGCCCACGTGTGGCTCAGCCTCTCCTTCCAAACCCAAGCTGTTCAGTAGAGCCTTCTGAGATGACAGGCGTGTCCTGTGTCTGTGCATCCAACACAGGGGGCACAAACTCCTGTGGCTATTAGGCACTCGAAGTGTGGCTAGTGCAACAACAGAGCCAAGCTTTTAGTTTTGTTTTAATTCTGATGAATTTGAATTTAAGCAGCCACATGAGGCCAGTGGTTCTGTACTGAACAGGGCAGTTGTGAACCAAAGACTTCTCCAGTTCACAGGAGACCCCGTGTAACAGGCAGAGCAGCACTCCAACCGTGCTGGCTTAGCAAGGCGGAGGGGTGGATGGAGCCCTCTGGGGAAGGCTGTCAGCAGGACACTCAGGCCATGAGGCTCTCTGGGCTCCATTCCTTCCTCAGCCAACCTGAACAGCCAGAGAGAATCTGCTCCTTGGGCAACTGGCAGAATTGAAGTTAAAGAAAAAAGAGGCTAAGGCGTTTTGATTTGTGACAGGAGAATACTGTATATTACAGCTGCAGAGAGCAAGCTGGAGGGACCTCACCTGTGACCCCCTAGTCCAGGCAGGCGTGGACCCCTGGACTGCGTTGCTGGGGACTTCCTCAGCATCCTTGCCTGTGGTCACCACTTTATTCTTACTTGGTTCTGAAGTGGAGCAAGCCTTGGTCATGTCCTTGGGGACATTTGGGGCAGAAGACCACCTTGGCTGTGTGCATGACGGGTGCCCAGGCCAAATGTGGCAGGTGTGGCCAAAGTGACTGCCCTGATAGGGTGGAGCAAGTTGACAGATGTACATGCCTTAGGACAGTTCAGCTCGACCAACCACAGGCTCAGGGACAGAAATTCAGATGGACAGGAAGGGATGACGTGCCATCAGCCATGAGAGGCCACCATAGCTAGCAGTAGGCTCCCATGGCCAGAGCAAGGGGAGGAGGAAGGTCACTTGTGGGCAGTGAGCTTGTCTTGCATCTTTTCTGAGGGAAACACCTCAATGGCAACAAAAGGAGATAGGGTGCCCCCTAGTGGCCTTATCTTTGTTCCCCGTCATTCTCAAACTTAAAAATCCTTTGACATCTTCCAACACAGTTGCTTGAACATTTTCTACTGCATCCCACAGTCAGAAATTTACATGACTACCCAGGTGTGTATGTGTATAGACAGAGTCAAACAAGAGCCTCATAAAACAATGCTTATCCTTACCACATGCAGTATAATGCAAAAACGCGTTCATATTTTCTATTATATCCTATTTCTTTTTTTTTTTTAACCCTTTTATAGGAACATTTTTGCAAAAGCATCAGAGTACACCCAGAACTGTCTGTAAATGACAAAAGACTTAAAAATGACCACGGTTAAACATTTGATGAAAGTTCATAATAATGCAATTGACAAGGAAATTTAGTTATTTCTGAGATACACATTTTAAAATAATAACTAGAGTTATGACTTATAACATTATACCAGAACATATAAGATTTTTAGGAATTTCATGTAATGTCTGAAACATTTATATTAACATATTTCCATACAAATAAACCAAAGAAAGTTTAGTATTAGTTTTTTTTGTTTGTTTTTTTAATTTTTGAATTTTATTTTATTTATTTTTTTTATACAGCAGGTTCTTATTAGTCATCAGTTTTATACACATCAGTGTTTACATGTCAATCCCCCAATCGCCCAATTCATCAAACCACCGTCCCCACCCCCCCGCAGCTTTCCCCCCTTGGTGTCCATATGTTTGTTCTCTACATCTGTGTCTCAACTTCTGCCCTGCAAACCGGTTCATCAGTACCATTTTTCTAGGTTCCACATACATGCGTTAATATACGATATTTGTTTTTCTCTTTCTGACTTACTTCACACTGTATGACAGTCTCTAGATCCATCCACGTCTCAACAGATGACCCAATTTCGTTCCTTTTTATGGCTGAGTAATATCCATTGTATATAGGTACCACAACTTCTTTATCCATTCATCTGTCGATGGGCATTCAGGTTGCTTCCAAGACCTGGCTATTGTAAATAGTGCTGCAATGAACATTGGGTGCATGTGTCTTTTTGAATTATGGTTTTCTCTGGGAATATGCCCAGTAGTGGGATTGCTGAGTCATATGGTGATTCTATTTTTAGTTTTTTAAGGAACCTCCATACTGTTCTCCATAGTGGCTTTATCAATTTACATTCCCACCAACAGTGCAAGAGGGTTCCCTTTTCTCCACACCCTCTCCAGCATTTATTGTTTGTAGATTCTCTGATGATGCCCATTCTAACTGGTGTGAGGTGATGCCTCATTGTAGTTTTGATTTGCATTTCTCTTATAATTAGTGATGTTGAGCAGCTTTTCATGTGCTTCTTGGCCATCTGTATGTCTACTTTGGAGAAATGCCTATTTAGGTCTTCTGCCCATTTTTGGATTGGGTTGTTTGTTTCTTTAATATTGAGCTGCATGAGCTGTTTATATATTTTGGAGATTAATCCTTTGTCCGTTGATTCGTTTGAAAATATTTTCTCCCATTCTGAGAGTTGTCTTTTCGTCTTGTTTATGGTTTCCTTTGCTGTGCAAAAGCTTTGAAGTTTCATTAGGTCCCATTTGTTTATTTTTGTTTTTATTTCCATTACTCTAGGAGGTGGATCAGAAAAGATCTTGCTCTGATTTATGTCAAAGAGCGTTCTTCCTATGTTTTCCTCTAAAAGTTTTATAGTGTCCAGTCTTAAATTTAGGTCTCAAATCCATTTTGAGTTTATTTTTGTGTATGGTGGTCAGGAGTGTTCTAATTTCATTCTTTTACATGTAGCTGTCCAGTTATCCCAGCACCACTTATTGAAGAGACTGTCTTTTCTCCATTGTATATCCTTGCCTCCTTCGTCATAGATTAGTTGACCATAGGTGCATGGGTTTATCTCTGGGCTTTCTATCTTATTCTGTTGATCAATGTTTCTGTTTTTGTGCCAGTACCATATTGTCTTGATTACTATAGCTTTGTAGTATAGTCTGAAGTCAGGGAGTCTCATTCCTCCCTCTCCGTTTTTTTCCCTCAAGACTGCTTTGGCTATTCAGGGTCTTTTGTGTCTCCACACAAATTTTAAGATTTTTTGTTCTAGTTCTGTAAAAAATGCCATTGGTAATTTGATAGGGATTGCATTGAATCTATAGATTGCTTTGGGTAGTGTAGTCATTTTCACAATATTGATTCTTCCAATCCAAGAACATGGTATATCTCTCCACCTGTTGGTATCATCTTTAATTTCTTTCATCAGTGTCTTATAGTTTTCTGCATACAGGTCTTTTGTCTCCCTAGGTAGGTTTATTCCTAGGTATTTTATTTTCTTGTTGCAGTGGTAAATGGGAGTGTTTCCTTAATTTCTCTTTCAGATTTTTCATCATTAGTGTATAAGGATGCAAGAGATTTCTGTGCATTAATTTTGTATCCTGCAACTTTACCAAATTCATCAATTAGCTCTAGTAGTTTTCTGGTGGCATTTTTAGGATTCTCTATGTATAGTATCATGTCATCTGCAAACAGTGACAGTTTTACTTCTTCTTTT